GGAGCACTGCGGGAGGAGGGGGAGGTACGGAGCCTGAGCTCACGGGGAGCACTGCGGGAGGAGGGGGAGGTACGCAGCCTGAGCGCACGGGGAGCACTGCGGGAGGAGGGGGAGGTACGGAGCCTGAGCGCACAGGGAGCACTGCGGGAGGGGGGGAGGTACGGAGCCTGAGCTCACGGGGAGCACTGAGTGAGGAGGGGGAGGTACGGAGCCTGAGCGCACGGGGAGCACTGCGGGAGGAGGGGGAGGTACGGAGCCTGAGCTCACGGGGAGCACTGAGTGAGGAGGGGGAGGTACGGAGCCTGAGCGCACGGGGAGCACTGCGGGAGGAGGGGGAGGTACGGAGCCTGAGCGCACAGGGAGCACTGCGGGAGGGGGGGAGGTACGGAGCCTGAGCGCACAGGGAGCACTGCGGGAGGGGGGGAGGTACGCAGCCTGAGCGCACGGGGAGCACTGCGGGAGGAGGGGGAGGTACGGAGCCTGAGCGCACAGGGAGCACTGCGGGAGGAGGGGGAGGTACGGAGCCTGAGCGCACGGGGAGCACTGAGTGAGGAGGGGGAGGTACGGAGCCTGAGCGCACGGGGAGCACTGCGGGAGGAGGGGGAGGTACGCAGCCTGAGCGCACGGGGAGCACTGCGGGAGGAGGGGGAGGTACGGAGCCTGAGCGCACGGGGAGCACTGCGGGAGGAGGGGGAGGTACGGAGCCTGAGCGCACGGGGAGCACTGGGGACCTATGATCCATATCTGGTCTGCTTATAACTGGTCAGAGCTGCATTTTTTTTCCCGGCAGCCCCTTCCGGGATGATATGGGCTTGTCTTCTCTGCAGTGAGTCTTATGAAGGTTAACAGACACAACCACAAAGACAGTTTACCAGCCAAACTAGTTAAAAAACTACTCAACTGAGTGAAGGTGAAGCTCCTACTGACATTACGAAGTGATTCCTGAATCGGGCGCGTCCCACCCAGCAACTGTTAACAGCAGGGAGCTCCTGAGATGCGTAACCCAGACAGGATGTTAAGTCACGGTCCTGAAGCTGAGATTCACCTGCGCGCAGGACTTCAAGAAGCTCAGCTTCCAGAGACAAAGTGCTATTTAGAGAGGAACGCTCCACAGAGTGTAGGCCATCTCCGAAGGCGAGAGCGGCCAGCAGCGAGACTTTAAAGAAGGCAGAGTCACAGATACAAATACAGCGGCAGAGAGGATGACAGAGGTCTAAAGACGGGAGGACAGGTGATAACGCGGAAAAGGTGACCGCATGCCGAAAGGCACCTGGTCACCCTCGTTCCAGCATCTGGTTCCGGTTACCGTCTGTCAGCCTCAAGCGTCTCTTACCGTCACAGGAACTCACTGTCGACTTATTTGAACCTCGAAAGCTAAACCCTAGGCCCACAGTGGCAGAGTGAGGAATCTGCAAAGCTACATACCTGACCCAACAATCTAACATGTAAGAATTCACATTACAGATACCTCTCCAACCCGCAAACAGAAAAGTCTCCAACCCCACATATGCACAAGGTTACTCACTGTGACATTATCTATAACAGCAAACTAACAAGAACAACCTAAAGGCCCACACATAAGCGCCTGGCTAAACAAAACATGATACATCCTCAGCCACTCACATAACAGCAATCCAAGTCTACGCTCCAGCCACTACTGCCGAAGACGCTGAAGTTGATGGTTCTCTGAAGACCTACAAGACCTTCTAGAACTAACACCAAAAAAGATATCCTCATCACAGGAGACTGGAATGCAAAGGTAGGAAGTCAAGAGATACCTGGAGTAACAGGCAACTTTGGCCTTGGAGTACAGAATGAAGCAGGGAAAAGGCTAACAGAGTTTTGCCAAGAGAACGCACTGGTCACAGCAAACACCCTCTTCCAACAACACAAGAGAAGACTCCACACATGGATATCACCAGATGGTCAACACAGAAGTCAGACTGATTATATTATTTGCAGCCAAAGATGGAGAAACTCTATAGAGTCAGCAAAAACAAGACCTGGAGCTGACTGTGGCTCAGATCATGAAGTCCTTACTACAAAATTCAGTCTTAAACTGAAGTAGGGAAAACCACTAGACCATTCACGTATGACCTAAACCAAATCCCTTATGACGATACAGTGCAGGTGACAAATAGATTCAAAGGATTAGATCTGCTAGACAGATTATCTGAAAAACTATGGATGGAGATTTGTAACACTGTACAGGAGACAATGACCAAAACCAGACGTAAGAAAAAGAAATGCAAGAAGGCAAAGTGGTTGTCTGAGGAGGTTTTACAAGTAGCTGAGAAAAGAAGAGAAGCAAAAGGCAGAGGAGAAAAGGAAAGATACACCCAACTGAATGCAGAGTTTTCAGAGAAGAGCAAGAAGGGATGAATCCGAAAGCCTTCTTCAACAATGCAAAGAAGCAAAGGAAAAGAACAGAATGGGAAAGACCATAGATCGCTTCAAAAAAACCTGGATCTGTAAAGGGAACATTTCATGCAATGATGGGCACAATAAAGGACAGAGACAGTAAGGACCTAACTGAAGAAGATGAGAGGTACAAGAGGTAGCAAGACTACACAGAACAACTGCACCAAATAAGTCTTCATGACCCGGATAACCACGATGGTGTGATCACTCACCTAGAGCCAGACATCCTGGAATGTGAAGTCAAGTGGGCCTTAGGAAGCATCACTACAAACAAAGCTAGTGGAGATGATGGAATTCCAGTTGAGCTATTTCACATCCTGAAAGATGATGCTGTGAAAGTGCCGCACTCAATATGCCACCAAATTTGGAAAACTCAGCAGTGGCCACAGGACTGGAAAAAGTCATTTTTCATTCCAATCCCAAGGAAGGGCAATGCCAAAGAATGTTCAAATTACCATACAATTGCACTCATCTCACATGCTAGCAAGTTTATGTTGAAAATTCTCTAAGCGAAGCTTCAGTAGTACATGAACCGAGAACTTCCAGATGTATAAACTGGATTCAGAAAAGCCAGAAGAACCAGAGATCAAATTGCCAACATCCACTGGATCACAGAAAAAGCAAAGGAATTCCAAAAGCCATCTACTTCTGCTTCACTGACTACACTAAAGCCTTTGTGTGGATCACAAGAAACTGCGGAAACCTCCTGACGAGACGGGAACGTCAGACACCTTCCCTGCCTCCCGAGAAACCTGAGGGCAGCTCAGGAAGCTGTCTGCCGTGGCGGCTGCCCTGGCGCCTCCTCTCAGCAGCACCCAGACTGCCAGGCCGCCCATAGGCTCTCCGGCTCCAGGCGGTCAGCGTCCTGAGGTCCACCAACCTGAGCAGCTGCCGAGCGGGGCTCGCTGTCGCCTGACCACACCGGCGCAGAGCGTCTCTCTACCTGTCTCTGTACCATCCGTGTTCGCTGCTCTATGACATGCCTGACCAGCTCTTGTCCCCTCGCAGGCCTTCTCTACGCTTGCTAGACCACAATCCTTCCTAGGCTGCACCATCTCCCTCGGAGGAGTGCCTGTTCACATTCTTTATCAGCACTTTTTGATAAAAGGGAGACTTAACTTTAATCTGGTAAAACTGGTCGTCTCCATCACATTTATTTTCAGCTGTGCTGGGCCTGTGTGGCCGCCTGGCCCTCCCTCTGGCTGTGGTGCATGGGCGTCTCCCTGGGGCAGCCTCTCTCATGGTGGAACCCAGGCTCAGTAGTTGTGGCGCGTGGGCTAAGCTGCTCTAAGGGACGTGGGATCTTCCCAGATCGGGGATTGAACCCGTGTCTCCTGCATTGCAGGCAGATTCTTTACCCCTGAGCCACCAGGGACGCCCTGCTTTATCTCGAAGTTTACCTTTTCTGTGACTTGAAAACGACCGTTCCCTACACCGAGGTCACACAGGTCTGCTCCCCTCCTGTCTTCCAGGAGCTTCTTTCCAAGTAGCCTGCGGCTGATCTCTGGACGGGGGCATCGGGGACCCCAGTGCCCCAGCTGCAGGGTCGAGGGCGCCTCCTGCCATATATCGAGTCTCTCCACTCTGTTTCAGGCAGCTCTTCCATCTCACAGTTGGCCTGGTTTCCCTGAGCCAGCTGTGAAGGAAGCCTTGTGCTCTGACTCTTCTCCAAGTCCCTACCTTGGGACCTGATCCTTCCAGATGTCTCAAGTGACTCATTCCATTTTCCCAAAAACCCTTCAGGGATGCACTGAACCCACAGACTAACAGACCAACAGGTAGCTTCACCACACCAAGCCTTCCTTGCCAAGAACGCCCTCTTTATTCAAGTCTTTTCTAATGCTTCTTAACAAGACTGTAACTTCTTTTGCATTAAAACTCTGACACGCTGTTTACAGCCCCATCTGCATCAGAGATGGGTCGCTCAGGAGAACAGGGGCCAGGCAGCTACTTCCAGCAAAAAGGGGCTTACAACAGGGAGCCTGCGCTTTCCAACAGCGGAGCCCACAAAACACACGCCACCTCCAGCCGTCAACCACCCTCCGGGGCTGCAGCAGAGAGTGGGCAGGGCGGCCTGCCGCCCACCGCGGAGGGAGATGCAGAAAAGCGCTGCCAGGACCACCGCCCCCTGCAAGCCCGCCACACCCCCTGGTCCGAGCCCCTGCACCCACATTCGCCACACCTTCCCAGCGCCACGGAAACGCACCCCAGGCTCAACAACAGCAGGAGCTGCTGGCAGGGGCTGTGGGCACGGTGGCTGCAGCCCTCTTCCAGCCCCTGGTGGGCAGGCTGTCAGGAACGCCATCTGCTTTTCATCTTCCAAAGACACCGCGGGCACGACTGAGCCCTGGGTCACCTTTCCCCGTTTTCTTGGTCCTTACGTCTTTAGTTGTACTTCTAGCAGGCTTTCAGCAGGACAATGAAATAATCTCCTGTGGTCACTCCAGGAGGCCTTCAGTCCAAGCTCAAAAGCCGCCAGGCCGAACATGGCTAGGCTCTCCCACGGATTCACTGAAACTCCCGCACGGGAGGCTCAGGTAGAGCCTGGCCTGCAGCCCGCCTCACACACGCGCACTCACCCGGACAGGCGGCCTCGTCGCTCCCGTCCTCGCAGGTCACCAGGCCGTCGCAACGCCAGGGCAGGGGGATGCACTGGATGGCACCGCTGCGGCAGGCGAACTGGCCGGGGTTGCACCGCAGTTCTGTGGGGCAAAGGCAGGAGGCCCTGAGCACGCAGACCACCCGGCACACGGGCCTGGGCGCACCCGGGGCTCAGGAGGCGCGCAGGGCAGGAGCAGGAGGGGCCGCCAGAGCCCGGAGCTCCCACCTCCAGGCGGGTGGGAGCGTGATAGGGCGCAACCTGAGCTTATAGAAGGACAGAGGCGGGGCTTCCGGAAGAGCCTGGAGCGGGACCCAACAGGACAGATGGGCCTGGCTGGGCCGGCGCCTGCCTCCCACCCGCCCGTGTTCCATGCAGGGGCTCCCAGGAGCGTGGAGGCTGCTGTGGAGTGACCCGAAGCTGGAGATCTAACTCTTGAGCCCTTGGGAGGCAGCCTGCAGACTCCTGAGCTGAGGGGTCACCCCAGGAGCCCAGGCAGACGGCAGTGAGGGCAGATCCAGTCGGCCAACCTGCAGGAGAAGCAAAGCGCCTCGGCCCAGGGGAGCGGGGGCAGCGGAGGGCTGGAACCCCGGCCGCCGAGCTCACCAGACAGAGAGGTGAGCGGAGGAAGGCAGGGCCTAGGCCCTGCAGAAGGGCCCTCGAGGCACAGAGGAGCGGCAAGGTCAGACACCGCCCAGGCCAGGAGAGCTCACCCTGAGCCGGAGCGCCACAGGCACGAAGCGTGGCTCTCAGCGTCCAGACCAGAGATGCCCAACTCAAGGGCGCGGGTCAAGACGCGCAAGAACCTTGCCTGACTAGCAGGAAAACCTGACTCCAGGTCAGGGCTGCCCTAGCCCTGCCTAAGCAAGCCCAAAGCAGAGCCGAAGAGACCGCACTGTTCCCCAGTCACATCCCAGAGACATGAGCACAGGAAAGGTACCTGGGCCAACGAAGAGAAGACAGAGCCCAGAGCACACTCACACTGGCATGGCCAACTGACTTTTGATGGAGGTACAAAGACAATTCTGTGGAGAGATAACGTCTCAGCAGGTGGCGGGGAAACGACTGGAAACCCACACACACATCAAAAGAGAAAGCTCGACTCACAGACTAGAAGGCAAACTCAGGGCTGCCCACGGGGGCGGGGTGGGGTGCTGGGTGACAGGGCGGACAGCCCAGCACAGGGTCCTGCCGCCTCCACGCGCACCCTGCTTCCTGCGCTGCACTCCGGGGCGTGGCGTGCTCTCAGCAAACAGGAGCGTGGGGCTCACAGATGCAGGGTCCTGGGTGTGCAGACGCGCTCTATCTCTGGTGCACACACACACACGTGCAGAGCACGCAGATGTGGGGTGAGGCAGGTGTCACCACTGGTGAACCGCAGTGAGCTGTGCACAGGTGGAGTGCACAGTACCATTCCTGCAAGTTTTCCAGAGGTATGAAATGCTCCCAAAGTTAAAAAAGTTTTGGAAAAATAATGAGGCGATAATCCTCTGCCTCTCTCTGAAGAAAGGTATTTTGAAATCTTAGTTCTTTTTGGAATAAAAGGCTTCCCAGGTGGTGCAGTGGTAAAGAATCTGGCTGCAATGCGGGAGATGCGGGCTCGATCCCTGGGTAAGGAAGATCCCCCACCTGCTCCAGCATTCTTGCCTAGAGACAAGGAGCCTCTGGAGAAACGTTATCTCTCCACAGAATTGTCTTTGTACCTCCGTCAAAAGTCAGTTGGCCGTGCCAGCATGAGTGTGCTCTCACGGACAGAGGAGCCTGGTGGGCTACAATCCCTGGGGCTGCAAAGATATGGACATGACTGCAACCGCAGTCACCACCCGACAATAAACATGCAGACCACTGCGTTTCAGGCTCTGAGTCTGCCCTTAAGGCACCTCGCAGCCGAGCGATCCTGTTCATGTCAGAGCTCCTCTGCGTGGTCACTGAGTCTCAGTCCCCCTGAGGTAAGCAGGCACACAAACCCGAGCGGCAGCCTCACACAGGTCAACACCACGAGCCAACCCGGGGGCAGCAGGTGGCTCTGGATCCTCAGCACCCACCACGCCTCCCCCCACAGGGCCGCCCTCTAAACGGCAGCTTCAGGTGGAGGGAAAGTTTTGACAAGAGGTCTGGAAGGTGCCCTGCGGGCAAAAGAAGACTGAGCAAAGTTCTCACAAAGGCTCGTTTAAGATAAGAAGAATGCCGCAAAGCTGCGCTGACTGACCTACAGACCTCTAAACACTGCCAAGCGAAAAGGCAAGATCCGTGTACACAACATCTAATTCCACTCGTGTAACACTGGAATTGGATATGCGTGAGCTTCTCTAAGTGTGGGAGGCTGTGCTGGGCTTTCCCACGGCTCACCCCGGCCTGGACCCCTTCCCGTGAAGGGCTGGGTGGAGGAGGGCCCCGCAGATGCCTTCCAGGCCCCCAGCCCCATCCTGTGCAACCGCAGGGCACGGTGGGTCCCCACAGAGGAGCCAGCAGCGCGCAGAGGCTGGGTGCACCAGCTGCCTGGCATCTTGCGTCTCCCGCTGACGCGCCAGCGGGCCCTTGCCCAGCACCCTGGGAGTCCCAGGCGCTCCCCACAGCACCCAGCTCCTGAGCAGGGTGCCCGGGGAGGAAGGCGGCCTGCAGCAGGGTGGGGCTCAGGGTGGACACGGAGACCCTCATCCAGCATTCACACAGGGCTCTGCTCTCAGACCCACCCTCTCCGGCACAGAGCTGTCCACAGCTGAGGACGGACAGCCAGCGAGCTGCCAGGCGCCCAGCAGCCAGCCTACAGAGAAGGACAGGAAAGGGGCTGGGGGGACGGCCACGCCAGACAGAGATGCAAAGGGCAGGAGACGGGGCCAGCACAGGGGCCGCTCACCCCCCGTGCGGCCGGGGACCCTGGTGAGACATCAGCGGTGAGCAGCCTTGCCCGCCCTCGCCTCTCAGGGCAGCTCTCGCCCCCGGGAGTGACCCCCCGGCCTGAGCCCCAGGCCAGCTGGCTGGGTCCCTGCCGCCCCCACTGGGCAGCTGCGAGGCCCGTGGGAGCCGCCGCTCTTTATGTCAAACAGAAGGAGCCATTTGTGCGTCGTCTCCATCACCGATTTCTGAGCGCCCGCTCCGGGCCAGACCAGGCTGAAGCCCCAGCTCAAACGTGCCTGAGTGCGAAGCGCGCCCGCAGGAATAATACTGGCCCTGTCCATGGCGCGGGGTGGCCGGGGCACCCGGCCAGCACCCCCCCTCCAGGCACAGCTGGACTCACTGAGCACACACGAGGCGTCCGCAAGGCTCAAGCCATGGAGCTCGCTGCCTGGAGTGGGGGATTCTCCCGAGAAACGCACCCTTGTGCACCGACCTCTCAGCGCGCGGGTGACACTCACGGCCCTTAGGGAGCGTCTGTCCCACGTCAGACAGTTCTCAGAACCAGAGCCCAAGTCACACCAAGCCTGTGTCCCCAAGAACCACATCTGGGTTGCAGGAGAAAGCCGAGGACAGTGAGCGGGCAGCTCCACGCAGGGCTCCACGCTCTCCAGCCACTGGCCCGCACTTGCCTGGACCCGGCATCAGGCCCTGACCTCAGGGCCCCTCTCCTGTCGAGGCCCCGCTTCCACAGAACAGCCCAAGCTGGCCACGAGCCACGCAGGAAACCAAGATGCAGTCTTGGGTGACAACCGCCTGCAAGGCTACCCATTGCCCTGCAAATACCCAACTGGTTTGAAGTTGGCTCGGCCGCCTGGTGGGGGGCCGCCTCCGAACCGACTCCCCGCGCAGCATGGGGGGTGGGAGGGGCAGCCCCACAGCAGCCAGAGGAAACGCTGGGCACCAGTAAAGGGCATCCTGTTGGCATGGCTGCTCCCGGGGCCAGAGGTGGGAGGACCAGGGAGGCGGGCTGTGCCCACAGCACCCTGGGCGAGAGGAGCTGCAGAGCGGCGCACACACGTGCCCAGGAACAGCAGCCGCGCGGGCTCCACCCCCGAGCCGAGTCACCAGCCGGACCCTGCCCTGATCCCTGCCCATGGCCCACGGCCCACCGCGCCCTCACAGGATGCCCCCTTGGAGAGCAGGCCACGACGCCTGCCCCTTGTCCCCCAAGAATTGTGCGTGCTTGCGTCAGCACTCACGCACACACAAACACACGTGTGCACACACACAGGTGCATGAGGGGGAGGGTAGGCAGACGAGGTCTGGGCAGATGGGGCCCCGGCTCTTGAGTTCACTTTCTCCCTGCAACTCTTCAGTAAGTTTGAAATTATCCCCAAACGAAAGTTTCTTTACTAAAAAAAACAAAGCTAGTGTGGTGGGAAAGGGCACTACGCTACCGTCGGAGTTAGAGAAACCAAGTGGCCAGCCCAGGGCTCCAGAGGCCCGCAGGGCCAGCTCCGCGTGGTGTGGGTCAGGACTGAGCGCGGGCTCCTAGCTGGGGCGGGGGCGCCTGGCCAGCCCAGGGCAGACCCCACGGCGTCCAGCCGCATCTGTGAGCCGCGGGCTCAGGCCACATCCGCCCACTCCCTGGTCCCCATCGCAGGTCTGCGGCTCGCTGACGACGTGTCGGTTCCCCAGCAGCACACGGAAAAGGATCTGAACCAGCAGGCAGCCTCTTCCCGGGCCCAAACCCAGCCCCGCGGCTCCCCGCTGCGGCCTCAGGCCCATTGCTGGCCTCTCCCAGCAGGACAGCGCCCGTGCGCCTCAGCTCACCCAGCAGGGCGAGTGGGGGTGGCAGAGGGGTCGCCCAGACACAACTGAGAAACAGTTTTCCCAGCGCGCCTGAAGCCGCACTCCTGGAGAAACGCCTGCAGGCGGAGCCAAGTCACTGGGGTGTCCAAGCCAGAGGCCCCCAAAGGTCCCTCCAGCTCCGTCGCCCCCAGGCAGAGGTCCCGGCCTTCTTGCCTTACCAGCCGTCACTTGTGATGCCCCGTCACAGTGGGGTCCCAAGGGAAGGGCACCTCTGGCCTTCAGATCAGGGCGCTCGGATGGGTGACGGGCCGCAGACCCACCAGGAGAGCCTCGGGTAACTCTGGGAGCAGGGGGCCCGAGGGGAGGGGTAGCAGGGCTGCTGGGGAGAGAGGCCGGGGAGAAGCCGAGCCTCGGGACCAAATCCTCCCCAGAGCTGCTGGGGTCTCCAGCTCTGTTCTGTGGACCCCTCTGTAAGACGGAGCTAGCAGCAGGACTTACCCCACAGGGACCCCCTGAGCCCCTGTACCCAGCGCGTCCTCAACCACCAAGACCACACACGCTGCCCAAAGGCCTGGCTGGGCGCTCTCCTGGAGCCCACTCTGTCAAAGGCCAGCCTGCATCCTGAGGGGCCACGGGCGCTCCATCTGGCAGGGGCCCTCCAGGGAAGTGGGCGTGCCTATTTTTCCCTCCTCACTCCCCAGTGGGGGGTCTGAGCCAGGACTCCAAGAAAAAGCGGGCAGGCTAAGACTAGCAAAGTCCCTCCCAGGTGCCAGCCCACAGACCCTGGCCTGGCAGGACAGAGGGCATACAGGCCCTGGGGGAGACTCCACGCACTGCTGAGCCAGAGTCAGGGAGTCAGCTGGAGCCCTCAGGTTTCTCAGGGCAACTCCAGACACCCGCAGGGGTTACTGTGAAGGTCTGACCTGGGCAGCCACGGGCGCAAAGGACAGCTTTGCACCCCACCCAGTCGCCTTCCTGCCCCAACTGAGGCCTGCTGTGGGCCACCGCTTCAGCCGGGGGACCTATTTCCCAGTCCTTGCTTTCAGCTGAAGAGCATGCCCACGAGGAGGGCACCTTGTCTCCACGTGAGCATCCCTAACGATGGGCAGGCCAAGATGCTTTTTGAACTGCTGCTGGCCGGGTGGCAGGATGTGTGGACAGAAGGCAAAAGAAAGGGAGTTGGGGACCCCGGTCACATCCCTTGGGTGGACCCAGAGGCCCCCCGAGGACACAAGCGTGGTGTGGCTCCACCCCTCAGAGTCCAGCGACATAAGAGAGGACCCAGGATGGACGGGATGACTCGCGCCTCCCCACAGGTGTAGACATGTTTTCTGAAGAACGTAATAACAAGCAGGCACAAACCCGTCAGTTCTAGTCTCTCACAGCCCATATAGCACCCTCCTGCACGGATGCTGGCTTCAGTTTCTACTGAGATCACCCCGCGGCCAGTCACCCTGCCACCCCAGAAGCATCACTGGCCCCTCCAGCTGAGTGTGGGCCAGGACCCTGGCTGCTGAGGGGACCCCGGCTGCTGAGGGGACCCTGGGGAGGAGGTGGGGCGCTCGACGGCAGATGGTGAAGGGCAGCGAGGTGCTGCGTGCCCGGGGCCGGGAGCCCACCTGGGGCCTGAACACCGCCATGCTCCCCGACCTGCTGGAGACACGCAGGCCTGAAAGCACCCACACAAGGGGCCCTGGCCACCTCTGCCTGCACGGGTCCCTTCCTCCACTAGACAGGGTCAAGAACCTCACTCTGCCACCGCATCGATATAAAAATGAACGCATTTATACGTGCATGTTAGAGCATCTCCTTCAACCTGAACACTCAAGGGCTCCTTCCCGCTGATTTTAGAACATCTCTGCAAGCCACCAGGGCACCGCGGCCCCGGCCTTCTGCGCGTGACGGGCGAATCGGCCCTGCGTTCGGGCTCTTGATTTCTCGCGGACGGTGGGGGTGGGGGGTGCACACGTCGGGAGAAGAGGCAAGGCTCGTAGGGGACCTTCTGCGGCCCGGATCCCATCTCCCCACCCGGGCTCCCCTCAGAACGCCCGCCTCGGCGGCTCCTCACGCGTCTGAGGGTCCCCCGCCGGGCGGCCGGGGCTTCCAGGCGTCCGGCCCGAGCCCGCCGGCCGCGGAGGGCACGTCAGAGTGGGGTCCCCGGGGCGCCCCCGGCCCGGCCGCCCCCCGGCGCACACCTGGCCGCAGCGGCTCGGTGACCGTGAGCACCAACAGGAAGAGCAGCAGGAACGCGCCGCTGTCCGCCTTGGGCACCATTTATCCTCCGTTCATCGTCCCCGGGGCGGCCGCGCGGGCCGGGCCGAGGGGTCGGGCCGGGCCGGGGCCGGGCCGGTCGAGGGCGCCGCGGGGTGGAGGCTCCGGGGGGCTGCGGGCGGGCGCGCGCTCTCGGCCGCCGCCTCGGGCTCCGACTCTGGCTCAGCGCAAGATGGCGGCCGTCCTGCTCGGCCCGCACCGCCCCGCCCCCGCCCGCGCCGCCGCCAGCCAATCAGCGCCGAGAGGAGGCGGGGCCTGCGCGCTTCGCCTGCGCAGTGACCGAGAGGGGCGCGGCCCAAGGGCGGGGCGGGGGCGGTCCCTCGGGGGCGGGACTACGAGGGGCCGAGGGCTCCATTGGCTGATCACTGAAGGGCGGGGTTCGGGGCGGGGCCTGAGCGGCGGGGCCTCCAGAGGGCCGGGCGGAGCAGGAGCTGCGGGGCCGGGGGGCAGAGGGGCGGGGAGCGCGGCGTCTAGGGAGCCGGGGGTGGGGGGCGGAGTTGGGAATCCCTGAGAAGGGCCCTTGGAAGAGTGTGTCCCAGAGTGGCGCTTTAAAGGCCGAACCGCTGCGGAGAGGGGAGAGACTTGGAGAACCTCCGAGGAGGTCCCGGGAAGGTGCTTCCGCAGGTGCGGCTTCAGCGGCGCGGGCAACTGGAGTGCTGCAGACGGACGTGCAAGCAGGCTCAAGGAGGGTCCCGCGCGGAGAGCCGACTGGGACGCCCGATCCCCTGGAGAGGGGCTTCCCCCACTGCACAGTGGTGGCGGAGCGGGGCCGGGGGGGGGGGTCGGGGAGACGCTGGCGCAGCTGCCGCCACAGCAGGCTCTTACGCACGGAGGGAAGCGTTGGTCGCGCACCTGTCACCGCGGGAGGGGACCCAGCAGATGGGGAGTACCAGCGAGGGAGGAGCAAGCCCCCCGAAGGACGGACCACCAGCCACGCACACGAGGCCCAGCCCGGGGCGTCAGGGTGGGAAGAGGGAGAAGATGGGAGTGGAGAAAATGAGGGCAGAGGCGGGGGTGGGCGGTGCACCCAGACCATCAGCAGCTCGCTCCCCAGAAGCAGTCACCCCAAGCCCCTCAGGGGTGATCATCCTGAGCACCCCAGGATCCCAGCCTGGGACATTCAGGGTGATCTGAGAGAGGAATCCGCTCCAGATGCACGGATCTAGCCAAAACCGACCCCAAGGCTCTGCCGGGCCTGACTGCTCCTGCCCTCCCACGCCACCCCACCCTTCCCTACAGCAAGGCCCAGAGCAGAGAGGACCCACTGCTGGCGGGAAGGGTGGTTCCCATTCAATACCGCCTGTTTGCCTGTCCTCAGGGGGCATTTCTGGGAGCAGCTGCTGCTCTCAGAGGAGTCCAGGCCCACCTTCTCCCCCATCCCCAGACCTGCCCTGGGAGCCCAGTCAGGGCTACTGCAGGGCAGGCCCCCAGGAGGGGGCTCACAGCCAAGGGCAGAGACCCGGTCAGTTGTCCCCAGCAGAGCTGGCCAGAGAAGGTTCAGATGAGAGCAGCATGGGGGAGTGAAAAATCTAGCCAGACCTTCCTGCCCCACCCACCTTTTCAGACGCCTGCCTGTGCAGACATTGCAGAGTATTTCCAGGGCTGCATGGAGCAAGAGGTGGTCAGGGAGGGTTTCCCAGTCCCTTCCCTGGGGGAGATCACCTAGGTCACTGCCTTGGTCAAGGCGGCCCTCCCGGCACCATTGTCCCCGGGTTCCAGAAACAACCGTCCCTTCATCCGAGGGCCCATCACCCACTTGGGGTTCTCGACACGGCTCCATGTGGGGAAATCATCCTCTTGTCAAACCCTTGCAGGCAGTCCTCACTTGAGCGTCTCCTGTTTGCTGCTGAGACCTAGATGGTTGGGACTGTTGCCCTGGGTTTCCAGGGATGCCCTGGGGTGCAGGAAATCAGCCCATCGCCCACCCCCCCCCCACCCCCAGCAGTCCTGGCTCAGGTGTGGAGGCTTGGGAGAGCCGATGCAGTCCCCGCGGCCCCCTCCTACCTCGGCCCTCCATCTGCTGCAGGGTTCTGAGTTCGAGTGGGTCAGGCCAGAGACCCATTCCGCAGAGCAGTCCTCCTCTATGACTTCATGCACTGAAGTCGCCCGGGAGACAGTGCCGAACGTTCCAGCCCAGAGTCTTGGCCTCTAGGAGGCAGGGACGGGAGGCCCGGGCAGCCCAGAGGACTCTGTCCACAGTGTAGATGAGGACGCGTTGGCCCATGTCCCGCAGGGATGTAGAGGGCAGCCTCAGGGGCACTGGGCGCTCCCGGCACCATGGATGACGCTGCCGTCCTCAAGCGACGAGGCTACATCATGGGGATCAATTTGGGAGAGGGCTCCTACGCCAAGGTCAAATCCGCTTACTCTGAGCGCCTCAAGTTCAACGTGGCGGTCAAGATCATCGACCGCAAGAAAGCCCCCACGGACTTCCTGGAGAAATTCCTTCCCCGGGAAATTGAGATTCTGGCCATGCTAAACCACCGCTCCATCATCAAGACCTACGAGATCTTCGAGACGTCAGATGGCAAGGTCTACATCGTCATGGAGCTTGGGGTCCAGGGTGACCTCCTTGAGTTCATCAAGACCCGGGGGGCCCTGCAGGAAGACGACGCTCGCAAGAAGTTCCACCAGCTGTCCTCGGCCATCAAGTACTGCCACGACCTGGACGTCGTCCACCGAGACCTCAAGTGCGAGAACCTTCTCCTCGACAAGGACTTCAACATCAAGCTGTCCGACTTTGGCTTCTCCAAGCGCTGCCTGCGGGACGAAAGCGGCCGGCTGACACTGAGCAAGACCTTCTGCGGGTCGGCGGCGTACGCAGCCCCCGAGGTGCTGCAGGGCATCCCCTACCAGCCCAAGGTGTACGACATCTGGAGCCTGGGTGTGATCCTCTACATCATGGTCTGCGGCTCCATGCCGTACGACGACTCCAACATCAAGAAGATGCTGCGCATCCAGAAGGAGCACCGTGTCAACTTCCCACGCTCCAAGCACCTGACGGGCGAGTGCAAGGACCTCATCTACCGGATGCTGCAGCCGGACGTCACCCGGCGCCTGCACATCGACGAGATCTTAAGCCACTGCTGGGTGCAGCCCAAGGCCCGGGGCCTGTCCTCCGCAGCCATCAACAACGAGGGCGAGAGCTCCCGGGCAGCCGAGCCCCCGTGGGCCTCAGAGCCCAGCTCCGACAAGAAGTCCACCACCAAGCTGGAGCCCCAGGAAGAGGCGCAGCCCGAACCCCGGGCCGAGCCAAGCCCTGAGGAGGAGGCGGCAATGGTGCAGGTGTCCCGGCAGTCAGAGGCCGTGGGTCTGCCCGGCGAGCAGCCCAGCAAGACCGAGGAGGGGGCGCCCCCGCAGCCTTCAGAGACGCAAGCCTAGCCCGCCTCTCGCGGCCCGGGCGGCCAGCAGGGAATGAGCCCAAGCTCGAGAGAGGCCGCGGGACCAGCCGAGAAGGAAGACGGTCCCGGATGCGCCGCTATTTTCGTCAGTTTCTTCCCCTCCCTTTGAACTCGGTAACTCACGTGGCTAAAGAAGCAATAAATCACTATATTACTGCAGCCCCCGAGGTCGCTGTGTGTGTGCCCTGCCGGCTTCGGTCACCCAGGGAGAGGACCCTGCACCCCCGTGGCCCCCTCCGCGGGTCACGCTGTGCTTCACCTCCCACTGGGGAAAGAGCTCCACATGTCCAGCCCTGATGATGGCATCGGGCCCTGGACCGGAGAGAGCCGAGCGAGGAAGATGCTGCTTCAAGCGCAGGGCCCACAAGCGCCGAGCTGGGTGGGGAGGTGGAGTGGGGGCTGCAGGCCGGGGCAGGCATTCTGGGCCCTCAATGGCCCCCGAAGCTGCCTGCCTGTGTGGGGGCCTGCAGAAGCCGGCCTGCCTCCCTTGGGGCCCCTCCCCTCCTCCTGCTCTGGCTCCAGGGTCTCCCCCACACCCAGCCAGCACCCCATTCCCCGCAGCACCCAGAGCATTCCTGCCTGGCCCGGCCCCCAACCTGCATGTCACCCCGTCACTGTGCTCTGACCCTCCTGCTCCTCTCTGGTCTCAGCTGTCCCCAGGGTGACGCTCCCGTTAGCGTGGGTAAGTGGACGCTGGCAAGCAGGGGGCACAGCCCTCCTCTCACATGTGGCCAGGGCGTCTGCGGGGGGAACAGGCCTGCGGGGTCACTGCCGGCCGCGGGGGCGCCACCCACCGTGAGGCCCTCACCTGGCCATGCGCAGCCACCGCTTCCTCTTCCCATCCGCCTGTGCTCTGGACACGCGCGCACCTGCGGGTCTGACACCAAGGGAACGGGGCCTTCAGACGGGCCCCTCCCGCCGCTGCCGGTGTCCAGCAAGGGCCCCGCCCCGGCCCCAGCCCCTTCACAGCCACAGCCAGTGACCCCTGGCCCCACTCGTCTCCCCGTCACCTCCCGCGGCAGCCGAGGCCCCCGTCCTGCACCCAGTCCGGGTCCCCTGCCTGCGGGAAGGATCTCCACGCCTTGCCCCTGAGGTCGTCCCAGGTCTGGCCTCCTGGCCGCCCGGCCACTCGCCCTGGGCCCCAGTCCTGCTGGCGGACAGGACCCTGAGCCCCTGCCCACCTCTCCAGGCTTCGTCAGGGGCCGCAGCCTCCACACACAAAGCCTCTGGGAGTCACAGCCTGGGCAGGTGGGCGAGGGCCCAAGATGCAGCAGTCCTGGCGGTGGAACCACATGCCTGCTCGGTGGCAGAGAGGGATTCCAGGGTGCATGGGGCCAGCGGGGGTGCAGATGCCCCGGGAAGCTTGTGAACTACTCCCTGGGTCAGCAGTGGTCATTGGGGCCTGGGGACAAGGCTGGGCGGAGGGGCCTCGGGAAGGAGCACCTGCTGTGTGCTTCCCAGGCGGGGGCACCACTCAGAGAGGGTGGGCGGCCGCCTGAACCCACCCAGCGTGGATGCAGGCCGCGCTGCAAGGCCCTCCTGAGGTGGCCTGAGGCACCGGCCACTCCTGCGAGCCACCCCACTGCCCCAGCCGGGCTCAACCCCCACAGCGACCCCCGGGACCCTCAGTGCGGCCTCCGGGCCAGCCGTGCACCTCCTTCCCGGCACGCTCTCACCACCTGGCCGTTCAGACCCTCAGCAGCACCTCTGTCCCCATCCTCCGCGGGGCCTGACCTCAGCCCTCAGCCTCCCCAAGTCCTGTGCCAGCTCCGATCACTGCGCGTGCCTGTCACGGCCCAGCTGCAGGGCACTCACGCCCTGGGTGACGCTGAGCCACCTTGGGCCCCAGGAAGGTAGGGCCTACTCCTGTCACCCGGGGCCTGACGCCAACCCTCAAAGCTCCGAGGGCAGCATCCCCTGGGCTTGCGGTCTGGCACTCACAGGCCTGCAGCCTATGGAGCCTGCAGGAGCACCCTGAAGCCCGTCCAGCTTGACCCTGCCCCCAGGGCCCCGGCAGTCTGACACACACATTCTGGGCAGGGCCCCTGCTGCTCTCCCGAGTCTGCAGGCCTGACGTCCCTGGAGAACCAGAGGCCACGGTGTCCTGGGCGAGGTAGGGCATGAGGAGCAGGAGCCACAGCAAAGGGCACCTGGGACAGAGTCCTGGGGGCGAGGGAGACAGGCCAGGAGGGCGCCTGGCTGGGGGCCTCGCGGCTGGCCCCTCTAAGTTCCGCTGGTTCCTACTGAAGCCCCCAGAAGAATGCAGGCATCGGGCACATCCCTGCCGCTGGCCTCTGGGCCTGGCTGCCCTGCCCAGGGACCTTCCGCATGGACCTCCTGCCAGGAGCTCTGTGCAGCCCAGGCGTGTGCACACACTCCCCTCCCAGCAGCAGGCGAGCCCCACTGAACCCCACATGGGGCTTCTGGGTCACTCCCACCCACCCAGACACAGGACGCACCCTCCCCCGAGCACCCGTCCTGGGCCCTGAGGACAACAGGACCATGGGGCTTGCAAAGGACCTGAGCCTACGGGGGCGGCGGTTCCCGGGGTGGGAACAAAGCAGGTTGATGCTGCTTCCAGGTGCAGAGACGGTCTAAGATGCAAAGGTGATGTGCCTGCCCAGGCTCCCAGTGCTCACAAAGGACCAAGTGACCTAATTCAGGACGCTCTCCCCAGCCCCAGCCCCCGCCCCGGGCCCCACCCATTGTGTGCCCTCCCCACAGGCCGGCTCCTGGCCCGGTCACAGGCTCTGGCCGCCCTTCGCTATGTGCTCTCACAGGACCTGTCTTAAAGCCGGGCTTGGATGCCGGCAGCTCCTGCAGCCCGCACCCCGACCCTCTCCTCCACGTACCCTGACCCCGACGCCGGGACCCACCCATTCTCACGTCCACCTCCCCCAGGCCCTTCCCTGCCTGGACTTCAACTCTACCTGCCCTCAGAACGCCAGCCCACCAGGGCTCCACGCCACGGGGCTGGGCACTCACAGAGTCCGAGCTGCCCTCGCCCCCTCCGCCCCCGCCCCCATCAGGGCGGCCCCTCCCAGGCCCGGCCCGAGGGTGTGCTCAGCCCACCTCAAGGCGGTGCCGGGAAGGAGGCCCTCCCTCGAGGGACAGGATCTGCTGCAGGGTCAGTCCCCACACCCAGAAGGGGTAAGCGGCGGGGGGCCGGCACACTGGCTGGACCTGGGCGGCCCCAGGCTGACTTTGCACAGGGCAGCACGGAGAGATCGCCACAGTCTTGGGTGCCAGCTTCCTCCCTTCTGGCAGGCCGCGGGGCTCTGTCAGCCCAGTCAGCCTTCCAGGGCTCCAGGGCCTGTCCCCTCCCAGTTCCCACTCCGGGCAGCCTGGCTTTATGACTTCACAGGCTGAAGTCACGCGGGGACAATGCTGGGCGTTCCACACCTCCAAGTGCAGGCCCAGCCTGGCCAGACGGCTCCCCACAGTGCTAATGAGGACGATGCCCGCTGGCCCGCGAGGGGAGGGGATGTAGAGGGCAGTGGTGCAGGCCGCTCCGGGCACCATGGACGATGCCGCAGTCCTGAGGAAGAAGGGTTACATCGTGGGCATCAACCTGGGCAAGGGCTCCTATGCCAAAGTCAAGTCCGCCTACTCTGAGCGCCTCAAGTTCAACGTGGCAGTCAAGATCATTGACCGCAAGAAGACGCCCACCGATTTCGTGGAGAGATTCCTGCCCCGGGAGATGGACATCCTGGCAACCGTCAACCACCGCTCCATCATCAAGACCTACGAGATCTTCGAGACGTCCGACGGCCGCATCTACATCGTCATGGAGCTCGGCGTCCAGGGCGACCTCCTTGAGTTCATCAAGTGCCGGGGGGCCCTGCACGAGGACGTGGCACGCAAGATGTTCCGGCAGCTGTCCTCGGCCGTCAAGTACTGCCACGACCTGGACGTCGTCCACCGAGACCTCAAGTGCGAGAACCTTCTCCTCGACAAGGACTTCAACATCAAGCTGTCCGACTTCGGCTTCTCCAAGCGCTGCCTGCGGGACGGCAGCGGCCGGCTGACACTGAGCAAGACCTTCTGCGGGTCGGCGGCGTACGCAGCCCCTGAGGTGCTGCAGGGCATCCCCTACCAGCCCAAGGTGTACGACATCTGGAGCCTGGGCGTGATCCTCTACATCATGGTCTGCGGCTCCATGCCGTACGACGACTCCGACATCAAGAAGATGCTGCGCATCCAGAAGGAGCACCGTGTGGACTTCCCGCGCTCCAAGCACCTGACGGGCGAGTGCAAGGACCTCATCTACCGGATGCTGCAGCCGGACGTCACCCGGCGCCTGCACATCGACGAGATCCTCAGCCACGCGTGGCTGCAGCCCCCCAAGCCCAAGGCCATGGCCTCCGCCTCCTTCAAGCGGGAGGGCGAGGGCAAGTACCGGGCTGACTGCAAGCTGGACCCCCGGCCTGGCCCACAGCCCGAACACCGGCCCGAGCACAAACTGGGGGCCAAGACCCAGCACCGGCTGCTTGTGGTCCCTGAGACCGAGGACCGGGTGGAGGAGCAGCTAGTCGAAACCTCCAGGGCCAAGGACCACGTCTCCGGAGCTGAGGTGGGGAAGGCGAGCACCTAGCGGTGTGGAGGGCCCGGGGGCTAAGTAGGCGGTAGGAGCTGAAGAAGCCACAGGTGCAAGAACAAGTAAAGTCCGTCAATTAAACCGCTATTTTGATTACGTTCTATTAGCTTTTTTCCACTTAGTAGCAGAGACCTTAAACCCTGACCACCAAATAAACCACAGTGTACAGCAGAGAGGCGCACAGAGTCTTTTTCTCTGGGACTCAGCACCCACTCCCTGCGGCCCGGGGGCTCCGGGGAGCCGGCCTCGTGGGCACAGAGTCCACGGCCTCCCACCAGGCCCCCGCTGCCCTCCTACCCGCCCGCACCCTTCAGGCAGCCCATCCTCAACTCCCGCTCACCCTTTGGCCCTTTAGAACTTTTGGCGGCGCCCCCCTGTCCCCTCCAGGCACAGCCTTGCCTGGAGGGCGCCCTCTGCATCTCACTCGCGGCCCCCCCAGACCTCCGACCCCACTTCCTGGGGCTCCCTCAGGCCCACGCCCACCCTTCCCCACTGGGACAAAGCATCAAAAGCAGCCCTTTCTTGACCCCATGGCGCCAGACCCGCCCCCGTGGTGCCCAGCCAGGGCTCCGCCCAGGAACTTGCAGGAGCTCTGTGTGGAGGAGCGCAGACCTGCCGGACCCCAGGAAGCCTCCAGGGAGCCCGAGGACGGCCTGCTGGGGCGTGCCTGCTCCAAGTACGAGAGGCTCGTCTAAGCGGACCCCACACTGCCTCTCTGAGCACGACCTGACCCTACCTGAGGCTTAAAGAGCCCGCTGGGACTCCCTGGGGAGCTGGCCCCAAGCAGAGGAGCGAGGTGGCAGGGTCAACCCTGCCGCGGCTGGAAGTCAGGGGCTCAGGAGGGATGGCTGAGGCCGCTGGGAAGGGCCTCCCATGGGGAGCAGCCGCGTGTGCAGCAGGTCAGGCCTGGCTGGGGAGCCTGTGGACCTGCGGGCACAATGGCGGAGGGCTCTGCCCCCCGAGAGGAACAGAAGTGGGGGGCACAGGGGCACGAGGGGCCAACTCAGCGCAGAAGGCAGGCCCCCCTCCTCGGCGGTGCCACCGGAAGCCACGCAGGAAAGGCTGGACACCCTGGCCCCTGAGGTCACCGCCCAGCGGCCCTGGGCAGGTGACGCAGGTATGAGGGTGGCCTTGGAGCAGAGAGGCAGCCCCTGTCAAGCCAGAGGCTCTCTTTAGTAACAAGTAAATAGAATGGGCGGGGTCCTCCAGAACAGGGTATCAGCTGGGTGGGCCTGGGGACCTGGAAAGCCGGAGTCCCGTGCTGGGCGGAGAGCCGCCCCGCAGGCTCCATGGAACACCTAGGGCCCGGCCCTAGAAGAAGTCTGAGGCCTTGCGCCGAGCGGGGAGCTGCAGCAAGTTGTCCGTGATGCAGGCCGGGTCCTGGCTGAGCGGGGTGCGTGTCGCCGAGCCAGGGGCTGGCGTGCTCGTCGGGGTCTGGGGCCCGCTGGCTGGGGTCTTGAGGTGGCTGGTGCGGGCGGGGGATGGGGTGTAGCTAGCCCGCAGGGCTCGATCCGTGTACTTGCTGGCCGTCCTGCTCACCAGGCGCTGCAAGGCCGGAGACATGGCGGGACTCATGCCCTTGGGGGTGAGGCTGCAATGGGGAAGGCGTGGCGAGAGGCAGGGTCAGGCCTGCCCAGCAGCAGGGCCCTCATTCCCTGGGAAGATGCCTGGGGGACGCGTGCTTGTTCCCGGCTGGGATCCTGAACAGCCGCGCCCTGGGCCGTGGGGCTGGAGGGGATCCCGACCCTCTCCAAGGGGGGCGATGACCCTGACTCCACGGGCGGATGGGAGCTTATGGGGACAAGGCCTAAAGGCGCCCCCTAGAATCGCATGAGAAGGGGGGGTAGGGACGTACGAGGGGCACTGCAGACACAGGGGAGACGGCCCAGCCCAGACCGCGGCGCGAGGCCCGCCCCTCACCTGGCCAGGTTCTCCGTCACCCTCCGCAGGGCCTCCTGCTTCTTGGCCCGGTTCTTGGCAGCGGCCTCATTGGCCATCTTCAGGCCCAGCCGCTCCCTGCGGCCCGGCTCCAGGATCTAGAGGACGGCAGGCGGGCTCGTCGCAGGTCATCAGCCTCCCAACCCCCACCCTGAGTGGCCCACGCCCTGCGCAGGGTTCTTGTGGAGCTGACACCACCCAGCCAGTCACTGGGACCATGGTTTGGGAAAGGCCCTGTTCAGCCTGCTTCCCGCTGGCTACCAGATGCGATGGCTTCTGCGTTTCTTTAAAGAACTTCAAGATACACGTCCTGGCCCATCTTCTCACCGGTTCTGTGCTCCCTCTCTTGCTCACACAGCACTTCACACACCCTCCCGCTGTCTGGCTGTCAGCTTGCAGTCGGACTCTGGAGGGCTCCCAGCGCTGAGGGCCCAGCGCCCACTGCCTTCCCGCGTGGACACCCCTTTCCTGCCTCCCTGGCGCGTGGGCCTGAGGCCAACGCTCGCTGTCGTAACGCTCAGTGTTCCGTCTCCCTTGAACCTGCCCTGCTGCGCCCCGAGGGACCGGCTGCTCCTGTCCCCACACGCCCGCGAGAAGAGGGCCGCGTCGCCTCCTCGCGCTGGCCCTGGCCTGCGGCCGCGGCAGCGGGCTTCAGTGCCTCGGTGCGCTCAGCGGTCCCCAGGCTTTTCACAACTGCTGTGCCATCCCAGGCGGAGGGCCCCGCGGCCATCTGCGGTCTGGAGGAATCCCCGCTGTACGGGCGAGCACCCACCCCTCAGCCCCTCCCGCGGCTCCCTGCTCCCAGAGCTGCTGCTATAAGGGCTGTCGCTACGGTGACCGACGCTGTCTCTCCACGCCTCACCGGGTACTGCCGTCCCGAGAGGACTCCAGACCCTGCATCGGTTCTTTGGGTTCTCAAAGCAGGTGAAGTGATCCTGGACCCTTCGGTCTCGGGGCGCCCCCCACCCGCACCCCACAGTACTCCTGAGGCTCCAGGCGCCTCCCCCACAAGCCACGCCCAGTGCTGGCTTTCCCCACAAATCGCGCGACTTCACAGACCTGTCTTCCCAGAGACACTCGGGCCCTACCAGCCGCTCGCTGGCACCTTCCTGGGCCTCCCCGTCCCCACACACCACCTGCCACCCAAATCCCCTGCCCGCCTGGCCCACAAAGGGCTTCCCTTGTAGGGACCTGGCTTCGGGAACCCCCACGCTGACTGCTCCTGGGACCCTGGCCGGTGCCACCCAGTCTGGATCCCCGTAACCAGAGGCCTCCCTCTGCAAGGACTCAGCCGTCCCAAGGGCACAGCCACGTCCGATGGATGCTGGGGTTTCAGGGCTCCTCCCCAGCTGCAGGGAGCTCCTGGCCCAAGACCCCCGTCTCTGAACAGCCCCGTCCTCTGGACCTGCAGGCTCACAGGGGCCACGGGGGCTCCCCACCCCTGTCTCCCCGCCTCGCCCGAACCCCATCCACACCGGTCCTCAGCAGAGGCCCAGACCTCACAAGGAGCCACGGTGCCCGCCCCAGCATCAGCCCCATCCGCTGTGCACAGCCACGGGAGCACGGCAGACCCCGGTACACCCGTGCGGCCCCCCACCCACCACGCCGACCCACCTTGAAGGCTGGCCCCGGGGTCCTGTCCACGTAGGGCGTATCCGACCCTTCCACTCTCAGGGGTGTGTTCTCGACCTCCCCCCAGGTCATCAGCGGGGACTCACTCACACCTGCACGGGGACCGCCCACAGCCACCTCAGCCAGGGGCCACAAACGCAGGCCGCTGGCCCCTCCTTCCCAGGGTGGTGCCCCACTGTGTCTGCCTGTGCGAGGGTCCCGGCAGCCAGCCCGGGGGAGGGGCCTCCAGAGGAGCCGGGCTGGGCAGCTGGACCCTCAGGCTACCACAGGGTCGGGGAGCCCCAGAGGACACCCACGGAGATCTGGAGTCTTCCAGGTGAAGCCCCCACCCCGAATCTGGTCAAACCGCGGTGCCTTCCCAGGCCCGGAGGCCAGGACATGCCCAGGAGGCCGCCCTGAACCTCGTGAGCTCACTTAGGTATGTCAGCACCGCACACCTGCTGGCCTGAGACCCACGACCTGGAAACGTCACCCCAGGACTGACAGGGACCCCCGGTGGGAGCAGGAGTGGGCAGCCTGAGAGGTGTACATGCCCTCAGGATCCGTCAGGCCCGGCCTGCCCACCTGCAGGGCCCTCATGCAGCCCCGGGGGGCCCAGGTGCACCCCACTTCCTGCAAATTAAGCCTGGTTTCCACACACGCGCACACACAGGACAGCGCCAGGCGTCTGAGGTTGGGCCCATCTGAGAGCCCGGCGCTGCACAGATGCGACCCTGGGCCCCCGGGTGTGGGCAGGGCCCAGTAGTCCCACAGAGGGCACGTCTCTCACCAGGGGCAGGAGAAGGCGTGGCGACGAATCCAAAGCCGCCGACTCGGGGGGACTCGTGGGGGATGAGCTCCTTGCCGTCGGGGCCCACCTTGCCCTGTTTGTGCTGAAGCCAGAGGGGAGGTGGGGTCAGGGCCAGGCCACGCCACGGGCTGAGGCGCAGACACTGCTCAAGCCCAGGGCAAGCGAGGAGGACCCCAGCGCTGCCAAGGCCTGTCGGAGCGGCGGCCAAGGGATGCGCCCCGGCCTTCCACAAGGGCCACTCCTGACACCTGCTAGCTTTGGGGACCCCTGACTTCAGGCCCGGGACGGGGGGGTGGGGCAAGGCATCTGTGAAGACCTCCAAAACAGTGGCACCCACTCCGGCCTCCCTTCCAACGCCCCTGATCACTAGAGTCACTGGCCTGCACGACTCCCGGGATCAGCTCTGTGGTCCGCCACCCCGAGCCTGGCCCAGCCCGCGATTCTGGCTGCACGCTGCCTCCCTTCTCTCCTGTCCCTGCCCCACACGCTGGCACACACCTGACCCACCTGTCTGACCAAAACAGGACCTGACCTCAAACCCCCGGACGGAGAACAGACCCAGCCTAACAGACCCAGCCTCGACTGTGCCACCAAGCCCTGCCGAGCCCAAGGACGCCTGAGCAGAGAGCTGCTGGCCCAGCCCTCACCTGTGCGTTGAGGGCGGCCGCCTGCTGCAGCTGCGACCTGCTGAGGGCCTGGCTGAAGGGGTCCCTGAGGAAGCGCGTGTTCTTATGCACCACCTGCCGTGGCTTCTTGAACAGCTGCTCTTCGTCGGGGACGCCTGGCGGAGAGAGCAAAGCCCGTGGCATCAGGGGGACAGGCCTGAGGGAGACGAGCTGGTCCCCACGGAGCACAGCCTGGGTGCACACACCTGTGCTGACTCCGCCTACAGACCCCCTCTACCACCACCCCCCCGCCAGCTGCCCTGAGAATCCGGACCCCTGAAGGCCCAGAGAGTAGGGGGCAGACACACACCCTGGAGACCAGTCCACCCCGGAGGCCCTGTCCTATGCTCACCCTCTGGGTAGTACATGAGGGAGTTCTTGGCCTTGTACTTCCAGGTCTCCACTCCGGCCTGGCCGCTCTCGACCGCCTGGTGCTCAGCCGACGGGAGCGCAAGACTGTCCTTCTGCCTCTGTGTCATGGGGGAGCAAGGGTCAGGGAGGCCCCGAGCCCCGGCCCAGGAAGCCCACCCTGAGAGGGCACCGTTACCCCGCCCCAGGCACCTTCTCAAACTCCTCCTCGGCCTGGTAGAGCCATGCATGGCGCACCCGGCCCCTCTCCGTGGCCACCTCCATGATCTCCCGGAAGGAGGCGTTGTCCTCGCTGGTGTACCGACTCAGGAAAACGTCCAGGCTAGGCAGCGGCTCCGCCGCCTCCTCCGCGGCCTCTCCTGTCCAGGGCGCCATGGCGTGAGCACCACTGTGCATCCGCTCAGTCCCGGGCACCCTCTGCCTGGCCGTGGGTCTGTCTGTGAGACCCCACACCGCCAGACAACACCCTGGGGGTGGGATCAACACCCCCAAGCCGCCCAACCCCCTATCTGCTGAACGCTGGTGAAGTGTGTGCTCTGACTCGGGCCCAGATGGGGTGTCCGGTGTTAAAGAGTCACAATATTACAGTGGATCCCCCGCGGCACAATGAGCGGCCGGGAGACCAGACGCAAGATTCCCAGGGCACAGGCATCTGGAACACCCCAGGCAAGCCCGACAGCGCGAGGGCAGCAGGACGCTCACTCACCATCCCCGTCCTCCAGGCCGCGGCCCCGGGCCTTGGCCTTGCTGCCCACCACGCTGGGGCCTGTGTGTAGCTCAGGGGTTTCAAACGTGGCCGGCGTGACATCTGGGGGACAGAGGGGGTGGGGTCAGGGGGCCTGAAGCATTGGTTCAGCGAGCAGCCATGCCCGGCCCCAGGGGACTCCTCTCACAGGGTGGTGGGGGCTCTCGGGACATCTTGCCCAGGGCGGAGCCGAACTTGATGGCAATCTGGCGCATCCGCTCCAGGTCTCCATTCTCCTCTGCCTCCAGGTACTCCTTCTGTGCCTGCAGCTTCTCCACGTCAGGAAAGAAGTCCCTCTGGATAACTGTCTGGAGGCCCTGAAGGACAGGTCAGAACACAAGTCAGAGCCTCTGTCTGGCTCCCCCGGCTGCTTACCCCACAAAGTGTGTGCTGAGACCCCAACCTCCATTCAGCCCAAAGATCACCAGAGCTTGGGAACACTTCCTTTTTTCCTTCTTTTTTTTTTTTTGGCCCTGCTGTGTGCTTGTGTGACATGGGATCTTGGTTCCCGACCAGGGATTGAACCCAGACCTGCGGCAGTGAGACCATGGAGTCCTGACCAGAGCACCTTCAAAGCCTTCTCTCTCTCGGCCTCAGTTTCACCTTCCTTTGCCGCCTTCACCTCCACATCAGCTGAACCAACCTGGCTGTTGCCACCTTCACCCCGCCCATGGCCTCCTATTTCCAATCTGACCCTTTCACCCCACCACCAGCACGGGTGGAGATTCCCAGCTTCACACCTCCAGCCGGACTCGCCGCTGAGCTGCGCGTCTGCCCGCCCAGCTGTCCACTTAAGACCGCTGCCTGCCCCACCCCACTTGTCTCCCAAACCTGAGTGACTTCCTCGCACCTCCTGCGTGGCTGCGGTGGGGCGGTGGCAGGAGACGAACCCGCTCATCGATGCGGCCACCCTGGGAGCCGGCTTGCGGGGCCCCCAGCCCTAGCTCCCACCACCACCGCTGCCCAAGAAGGCCTCTCCGCCGCTGTCCAGACCCCTGCTGACCCCCTGACAGATCCCTGTCTTTCCGGCTCCTCACCGCGTGCACACACCCACCCCTGCGGCCCCCCTACATCGCGGACAGCTCGCCCCACACTCCGCCGGCTTGGCCCCCCGCCTGTCCACACGCCGGGGGCGAGGACTCAGGCTGCCTCATCGCCTCAGGGGATAGCGCGGAGCGTCGGGAACCGGCGGGGAGCGCGGGGCGGGGAGCGCGGGGCCCGGAAGTCGCGGGCGTCCGCGCCGAGCGCTACCTCAATGTACTCCTCTTCGTCCAGGACCCGCTGCCGGCCCGTCGCAGCCCCAGCCTCGCCGGCTGCGCGCTTCCTCCGAGGCCCGGACGCCGCGGGAACCAGCTGGGCGCGAGCAGGCGCGCCCGGCGACGCCATCGCTATCCCAGCAGCGCCCGGGCGGCGCAGGCCCGACGGGGCGGGGCCGGGCGCGCCAGGTGCGCAGACGCCTGAAACAGCCGCCCAATAGGAGAGCCGCGTTCGCCGACGTACTGACGTCACCGCGAGCCCTGCGCCTCATGGGAGCTGTGGTCTTCGTCCCGCCCCGCTCTGGTCACGGCTCTCTGGGCTGTGGACGCCAGAGGGCGCTGTGGTACGGGCTAGGAGCTAACCCTGAAAAACTTCAGTTTTGCGGAATCCGAAGGACTTGAAATTCCAGTTTCTCGCAAGAAATCGCTATATGGGCTTCCCTGGTGGCTCAGGTGGTAAAGCGTCTGCCTGCAATGCGGGAGATCCGGGTTCTATCCCTGGATCGGGAAGATGCCTGGAGAAGGGAATGGCAACCCACTCCAGTATTCTTGCCTGCAGAATTCCATGGACACAGGAGCCTGATGGGCTACAGTCCATGGGGTCGCAAACAGTTGGACACCACTGCGCGACTTCACCCTACCCTAATCACTATATACACTTCTATGCTATTAACAAAGTTTGCTATTAACACACGCTTCAGAAACGTTGGTTATATTTGGCTTCAAAATTTTTATTCAAAGTTTAGGCAAGAAAAGAAATGTCTGGTCCCTAAGTGCCCGAGTTGGCTTCCCAGAAAGCTGATCCTTAATGAAATGGACAAGAAAATTGTCTGAGCATTTTCCAGGAACAATGATTTCTTTCCGAAAGAAGGTTGTACATTACATCAAGCAAGTTCTGCCCCAGAAGGATTCAGTACAGTTCAGTAGGAAATCCACTGTATGGTTCCTGCCCTTGTTGGAGCTGAGCATGAGATGCAAAAGACCACCCCACAAACAAACAGCGGGCAGGTGCGAGGAAAACGAATCCCACCCAGGGGGCATCTTACCCACGGGGCATCTACCTAAGGGGCATCTACCTAGGGGGCACTTGGGAGACATTCCCCTGGAAGGGAGTGGTTGCAGACCCAAAGGACAAACAGGCATTGACGACCACATGGAAGGGGAGAGCGTGTGCAAAGGACCAATGGGAGGAGACACAGAGTGCAAGGAACAGCGAGGTGGGAGCCCACACCGGAAGGCCAGGCTGCACGGACCTTGTGGGTTATGGGTCATGGGTCACAGCAAGTTTTGTCTTTGTTTTGCGAGCCGTGGGAGCCCTGGGAGTGCTGTAGGAAGGGGAGAGGCAGGTTTGGACTTGCATCCCGGGTTTTATGAGAATGAGTCATAGAGGAATCAGAGTGGGTGCATGTGGAAAACTGGAGGCAACTGCAATGGCCAAGCCGAGAGCGGACGGCAGTTCACATCAGACTGGTGCAGTCGAGGCTAGGGAGAAGGCAGATTCTGGGATTGTTTGGGGAGGTCATCGCGTTGGCCTGGGCTTCGTGGGTGAGAGAGAGGAGGAGGCAGGGTGCATGCTGCTGGCTCTCTGGCTCATGTGCCTGGGATGCCTGACAAGAGCTGCCAGGGACAGAGTGACTAGAGAAGCCCTGGGCTTCCAAATGGAGCTGTCAAAGGGACAGCTACCCAGCACAGGGGAGAGGCCTGGGGGCAGGTGTAACCGTGGGATGGAGCTGGGACTGGAGGCTGAGGGTGGAAGAGACAGACCAGGGAGCGGATGGAGATGAGCGGGAGAGTGTGGGCTCAGCCTCAAGGACACCTGTGTTCCCGGCAGCTGCGGGTGGTCTGCCCGAGACAGCTGTAGAGAAAGGAGAAACCAGGAGGGCAGCATAGCGGCTGGTCCCGGGGCACAGAGCTCTGATCACGGGTGCCCCACACCTTGACAAAAAGCCAGTCAGCCGACAAGGGCTGGGACCAGGGGAGTGGGGTGTCCCAGCTTGGGCGGAAGCCCTTCAGGCAGGCTGTGCAATCTCCAGGGATAAGGCCAGGAGTCATGGAGATGAGCTCCGTGACAGCTGGAAGTGTGCATCCTGTGTGTGTGTTGGGGGTGGTGAGGGCCGCTGTCCTGGCCGGGACCCCGCATGCCCTGTGTTCTCCAGGCTCACCTGCCCTGGAGGGTCCTGGGAGCCACAGCCCTGGCTTCTAGACCTTCCATGAGGGACCGTGTTTCCCGCCAGATGCTGCCCACCCCCTTTCCGTCCAGGACACATGAGGAGGCAGAACAAAGTCCCCACGCCAGGTGGCGTGGGTGTCCGGCGCCAACTTGGGGACTGAAGCCTTGTCTTCACTCTGTCCTTCACCCTGGGGGCAGGATGGCAGAGGGCAGAGCAGACACTCTCCAAGGGGGGTGGGGGGCACTCCCCAGTTGAACTGGCTGGGCCCCGCAGGGTGACAGAGGCTGGCTGCTGTGACGGAGGAAGACACACCTGCATGGAAACCTCCAGAGTGAGGAATCAAGGACCCCGGCCCCGAAAAGCAGCTTCCGGAGGCCAGTGCAGGGACCAGGGGCCAGGCCGTGATCGTGGGGCTGTCTGCTCTGCTGGGGGCAGCCTGGCGCAGGGACTGAGGGCGCACCGGTCCCCACTCCCTGGGAAGGAGAGGAGGGCCAAGTCCCCGCCGGTGTGACACGCAGCCGTGGAGGACTTCAGCCTGGACTGCTTTCCCCGTGGTTTCAGTAACTCGTTTGTTTCTCGGGATCCACACAAGACTCACAGCACTCAGGGGTGGGAAAGGGCCTCCTGGAGGTGACGTCACCAACTTTCTCATTCTAGGGGTTGGGGCGCCCAGGCCCCGGATGCAGGGGAGGGCCGTGGCTGGGTCCTGGGGGCCGGGTCCCTGCTGAGCAGAACTCCGCCCACCCTACCCCCGCGCAGGCGCGGGCGGTGGGTGCCCGTGTTGACAAGAGGCAGCTGGGGTCGCCGGGTGGCTTCGTGCCCCGTGGAGTGTGATGGGGGTGAGGAGGTTGGCCTGCTCTGTACCCCACTCCCCACCCCTCTCCGATCTCCCCAGCCCTCCTGCCCAGTCGCCCTTGGGACGGAGGGTGCACAGCGCATGGGGCAGCCCCGCGCTCTGGGATCCACCGCAGGGCGGGTGGCCGCAGTCGCTCGCAGAGGGGCTCCCGCAGTCAGCTCTGGGGCCCCGGGTTGGCGGCTGGCGTCCTCTCCCACCTTCCTATGAAGGTCGGGCTGTGCGCTTCCTGGGCCGGCCCCAGAGGACGCCTCCACGCCCGGGGTAACTCTGGCGCCCTCAGCAGCCCTCCTTCGGGGGCTTTTCGGGTCCGGCTAGGAGCTGCGCGGACGACGACGCGCGCTTCTGGTGTCGCCACTTGGCCCGGCGGTTCTTGAACCAGACCTGAGGAGGAGGCGCGCTCAGGCGGGCCCAGCGCAGACCCAGGTCCCGCGCGGGTCCCAAGTGTTCCGGCCGGGTCTTCGGGACGCGAGTGCGGGCGGACGGGGGCCTCCGGGCGGCTGCTCCCGTCCGTCATCCGCTCCCGAGGGCCCGGGGCCGGAATCCCTCCCCCCTCCCCCCGCTTCCGCCGGCCAGTGCCCCTCCTGCAGGCCCGCGCTCTTCCGAACCCACCGAATTCCGGCGCGCGGACGCGGGCTTGATTCGTCAGGGGCGGGTGGGGTATTTAAAAGTAAGGGAGCCTGACCTCCGCCGCAGCCCAGCCCCGCCGGCCGCCCCTCAGCTCCCGGGCCTCGGCGCCTCCGCCCGCAGTGCGGAGCCGCTCTCCTGAGGCGGCGGGCACCCACCTCCACGCGCTCCTCGCGCAGGCGGATGCGGCCGGCCAGGCGCTCGCGCGTGCCCACGTCGGGGTACTGGTTTTGCACAAAGAGGGCCTCCAGCGCCCGCAGCTGCTCCTCACTAAAGATGGTGCGGTGACGCCGCGTGCGCCGCGGCGGGCCCGGGACACCCGCGCCTGGCTGCGCCCCGGGGCCCCCGGGGGGCGCGGCCCAGGGCAAGGGCGCCACGGGTGTCAGCCTCAGTGGCCACGCCAGCCGCGTGCCTGCCGGGCGAGGGCGCGGTGAGGCGCGGGCCGGCGGGCTGGCTCCCCTCGCCCCGCGCCCTCGCCACGGGGGCCTCGCGCCCACCCACCCAGCCCGCGCGCCCCGCGTCCACTCACCCAGCCGCGCATCTGTCTCCGGGGGCCAGCGGGGGCTGCGACAACAGCAGCAGGCGCAGCGCGCGGCCTCCGGCGCCCCGGGCTCCCCCAGCTCCGAGGGGCTCTGGCGGTCAGGGGCAGGCGGCGGGCGGGCGGCCCGGGCCGGGGGGCTGCGCTCAGGAAGGCCGGAGAGGATGTGCTCGATGGAGAAGGGGCAGGGCCGCCCGGGTGCCCCGCGGCCCGGCGCGGCCCTCGCAGCCGCCATGCCGCCCGCCCGCCGCCGCCGCCGCCGCCGCCGCCGCCGCGGGAATATATCCGTCGGGGGGCGAGGGGGGGTGGTCCGCGCCGTAATCCCCGGGCTGGGCGCCGCGTCCACTCGGGCTAATCCCGCCGCGCGGCCAGGAGAGGGCTAATCCCTGGCGGCGGCGGCGGCGGGAGGGGCAGCCGGGAGCTCCCTGCCCCGAGCCCGTGCCCCCGACCCGCAAGGCTGGCAGGCGCACGCAGGGCCGCCCCCACGGCCCGCCGGCCCTGGCCCAGCGGCCCGAGGACACCCCGGCCCGGCAGACCTTGGGTGTCTGGTCCCGTAGCCGCCGCGCCCAGGTCTGGTTCTGCGTCCCCTTCCGCGCCCCACCGGGGCGGAGGATCGAGCCTGTAGAAACCCCCCAAACGGCGCAGTGTCCTGAGCTGCGACCTCAAACGGGGCCCAGCACCCGGGGCAACCCCGCCGTCCGCTGCACTCAGCCCGACTGCCCGCTCCCATACTCAGGACCTGGATCTCAACCTTGGGGAGGAGACGGGGCGCAGGCGGAAGCTGTCTCTGCCCATCCCCAAACCCGCAGTCCCCTGCCTTCAATTCTCTGCCTTCTCTCCTGGGTGACGGACCCCACCTGGCGCCATCCGGGGCTCCGCGGAAAGGGACTGTCTGCTTTCCTCTGTGTCCCAGAATCCACCCCCATCCCATGACCACCCCCACCCCCACCCCCGCAGAGCCAGGCTCCCTGGGAGCTGACTGGTGCCCATTCTGTCCAACATCGCGGGGGGCCGACCTGCACTTTGCCAGATTCCAGGAAGCCTGTCCACTTTCATCTTTGCAGCCTTGGACAGCCAGCAGGACTTCTGCTTCAGGCTGTCTCCAGACCGCTGAAAAACTAGTTTGCGGCTCGCAGGACCAGGCTGCAGGCGGTCTGGCTTCTGCCCCAGCTGTTCCTTCCGGGCTCCAGGAAAGGCTCCTTCAGTCCACCCCACCCCATACCTCGGTTTCCCGACCTCTGAGCTCTAAACTGACATCATTGCGACCTAACTTTCAGATGCTCCGTGGGCTTACCAGTCACTGTGTGAGGTTAGATCCCCGCTGGGCAGGGGCCTCTGTGAATGGAAGGTGCCGTGAAGGGGGCAACACGCAGTCTCGCGCCTCTCCTCCCGCCTCACACGCCCCTCCTCAAACTCCCTTGTTGACTCCACTCGTGTCAGTGAGGACTCTGGACTTCCAGCCACAGAACCCACTGACTTGCTGTCACAAAGAGTCCTGACACAGACTGCCCAGGACACATTAATCTGGAAGCTCCAGGAAGGAGCCACTACCTCTGTGAGTGGCCCACCTCATGGTTGCAGTATGGCTGCCACCACACCAGACCTCCCATCTCTTCCCATGTATCCCTTTGGATCACCCTAGAAACCTCTCCCAGCCAACTTCCTGCACAGAACTGCAAGCTCACCAATAGATCACAGAAGTTGCTGGGAGTCAACAACCCATCAAAGTTACTTGCTCAAGGATGGGGGCTCCAGGACCAGTGGCCAGGAAGGCTGGGTCCTGATGTTCCTTCATCCCTCTCCATCCTCACCCTTGGTGACCTCTTACAACCTTGAACCTTCAGACGCCACCTGTGTGGCGAGGACTCCCCAGATGATACCTCCGGCTTGACTGCTCCTTCTCCTCCAGGCTGGCATCTCCCTAAGCACCTGCTCCACGTCCCATTTCAGCACCAAGGAACATTCAGTCACTATGCTTGGGACAGACTCAAGATCTCCTGGAAAGCTCCACCCCCTGCCTGGTACCCCACCTTGATAAATGGGTTGCCTACACCCCTACCCACCTAGTGGACGTGCCATCTCTCCACCGATGTGATGCTCTTCAAACCTGTCAGCAAATCCTTGCACGCCTCCCTTCAAGAGGTGACATCTAGTGCCCCCTTTTTTTGTATGTGCACTGGCTTAGTGACTCTCTTCTAACCGCTAGGAGGCAGAAATGACCCTGTGGTTTCTGAGGCCAGGTCCTACAGCTGGGTGACACAACTCCTCTCCCATCTGGGGACGCTCGCTGCAGCAGCCACAGGAAGGACACGCAGAGCAGCCCCAGCTGAAGGACCGGCCCCAGACCTACGCAGGGCCGCTCCGACGTTGACCCCTTTTAAATTTTGTCTATGCTGTAGGTAAAGACCCAACTTTCATCCTTTGCATCTGGATATCCAGTTTCCAGTTGTCCCAGTCCCATTTGTTGAAAAGATTATTCTTTTCCTTGTTGAACTGTATCCCCCTCAACCCAGTTGCAAATCAATTGACCATAAACGTGAGGACTTATTTCTGGATTCTGAGTCCTGCTCCATTGATCTACATGTCTACCCGTAGTTTTTTTTTTTTTTTTAACTGCTTTATTATTTATTTATTATTGGCTGCCCTGGGTCTTTGTTGTTTTGCATGGGCTTCTCTCTAGTTGCATCGAATGGGGCTTCTTCCTGCAGCGCCTTCTCTTGTTGCGGGGCAAAGGCTATAGGCACACAGGCTTCAGTAGTTGGGGCTTGCAGGCTTGGTTGCTCCCGGCATGTGGGGTCTTCCTGGACCCAGGGTCAAACCCGTGTCCCCTGCGTTGGAAGGTGAATTCTTATCCACTGTACCACCAGGGAAGTCCTTACCTATACTGTCTTGATTACTAGAGCTTTGCAGTTGAGATTGAGATTTGGAGGTTTGAGATTGACAAGTGTGAGTTCTGCAACTTTTTTTTTTTTCTCAACATTGATTTGACTATTATGGTTCTCGTGAACTTTCTTGTGAATTTTAGGACCAGCCTGTCAGTTTATTTGAAGAGACCAGCTGGAATTTTGATAGAGGTAACATTGAATCTGAAGATCCATTTGGGGACTCTTGCCATCTAAACAACATTAACAATCCATGAACATAGGATTTCTTCCACTTACTTAGATCATCTGGAATTTCTTTCACTAGTGTTTGTAATTTTCAGAGTACACATTTTTTTTCACTTTTTTGATTAAAGTTATCTTTCAGCATTTTGTTCTTTTGGGGATTATTGTAAGTGGAATGATTTTATTTCATTTTTGGGCTGCTCACTGCAAGTGTATAGAAATACAAGTGATTTTGTACATTGATCTTGTTATCTTGCAACCTGCAGAATTTGTTTATTCTAATAATTTTTTGTGGATTTAAAAGGTTTCTATATACAAGATAACGGCGCTTATGAACAGAGACTGTGCTTCTCGCTTCACAGCGCTACCGCCTTCTGCTCCATCTTCCCTCCTGAGCTCCCTGGCCAGTGTGTGTGCGCTCAGTCGTGTCCGACTCTTGCCACCCCGTGGCCTGCAGCCCACCAGGCTCCTCCGTCCATGGGATTTTCCAGGCAAGAGTCCTGCAGTGGGTGCCATTGCCCCCTCCAGGGGTTGTCCTGGTCCAGGGGTTGAACCTCTGTCTGTTGCATTGGCAGGTCCCTGCCTAGAACCTCCAGTAAATGTCCAGGGGTTGAACCTCTGTCTGTTGCATTGGCAGGTCCCTGCCTAGAACCTCCAGTAAATGTCCAGGGGTTGAACCTCTGTCTGTTGCATTGGCAGGTCCCTGCCTAGAACCTCCAGTAAATGTCCAGGGGTTGAACCTCTGTCTGTTGCATTGGCAGGTCCCTGCCTAGAACCTCCAGTAAATGGCTGGACAACGGGGAGGGGGGCATTCTCATGTTGTTCCTGATCTTAGAGGGAAAGGATTCAGTCTTCATCACTGGCCAAAAAAAAAAAAAAGCAATTTACCAATTTAGCAAAGCCTCAAAAGGTATTTAAAATGAGTGAGCCGAGTCACACTTCTCGTAATGGTAGTCACTTGCTTTGGACTAATCCTCCAGTGGATAGCAATGATAAACTCTGAACAATATATTTCGAAGAAAACCTGGGCACACTGGGTATGAACAGCAGAAACCAGAAGGGGGTCAATGCCAAGGCTGAGGGCCTCAACATCTCTTTTTGGGGACACATAAGCACGGGGTGACTATCGGTTTGCACACTGAGAGCAGTGCCTGCTGGGAAGCTGACCAAAAGGGGGGACATGGGTGGTCAACCCGGCAGCAGGACAGAGCCAGGGGAGGGGCGGGGAGGCTCAGCAAGAAGGCACTGGGACAGACACGGTGGCTTCAGATTTCAAGTCTTGAGGATGCAGGCTCCATCTTTGAGTCCCCACGATGCACGTGGCCCCATCACCCAGGGCAACACTCCCAGGTGGACGCAGCTAGGCCACCACTGGGTGCTAACCAGAGACGCAGGATGGGCGAGCTGGGCACTCAAGTGGTCGGGACAGAGCCCCAGCCGCCTCCATGATACCACCTGCTGGTCCACAGGGACCCACTGTCCCCCTTGGTAAATGGCCCGCCTCACCACCTGGGTAAACTGCGCCTACACTGCCATCCACCGTGCTAAATGCACACCTGCCCACCCAAGTAAGTGGTCCAACTAGCCTCCCTGACACCCCCTGCCCTCAGAGCTGCCTAAGTACCATGCTTCATGCGGGACGCTGCCCTGCCCACCCCGACACCTCACCGGTCCTAACACCACCCTCAGCGCTGCTGCCGATGCCCGGCCACCTGGGCCCCACACCGGCCTTCCGACGCCCTCCCGGCCACTTTCGTGGCCTGACCCCCTCTCTCTCTGCACACAGGTCCAATCACGGCGCTCCCCTGCTCAGGATAAGAGGATCAGCCGCTTCTTCGCGGTGCTCCTCCGGCCCCTGGACTCCGACACCTCTCTCTGGCTGCCCCCTCCCCCCCCGTTGCCCAGGTGGCAGACCAGATCCGCCAGCGGCCCAGCGCTCTAGGCCGGGTCCTGGGGTTCGGTGTGGCCTCCACAGAGCAGCCTTCCCTGTTCACCCCACCTGCCCCTGCCCCTGCCCAAGCCCCTCCACGGTCCCAGGGGCTCCTGACCGCCCTCACTTCTGTCTCCCGGACTGAAGAGCAGACCAAGTTGCTTCCAGGACTGGTCAAAACTGGTCAGTGCCAAAGAGGGGGTGGATGGCGGGGGCGGGGCTTCCAGGGAGGGAGGAGGAGGGGGGCGGGGAGGAGCACCAGGGGCCAAGGGCCGGGACTTCAGTGCGGAGAAACCACTGGCTTCGGACAGGCAGAGGCTAGGGCGCCAGGCGGGCCCAGCAAGGCCCAGGGCGAGTTTGGAAGTCAGGTCCCGCACATGCCAACGTGCGGCTAGAGGGGAGACGGCGAGCACGGCTCTTCTGCCGCCAGGGAGGGTGGAGGCGGCGGAGGGTCCCGGGCGCCGCTCGGGGATGGCGAAGGCGGCCGGGACCTGGCGGGGTGGGGGGGCGCCGCCTCCCCTTTTCCCTGCAGCGCGCACCCCGCCCCCTCCCGGCCCGGCGGCCAGGCCATCAGGACTCCCTGATTGCTTTCTTTCATGCCGGTGCCTTTCTCTGCAGCGAACGCCGGCTAATGCCTCCTTTATCACGGAATTAGGGGATTTAGGGCCCACGGCACAAAGAGGCCCTCGATAGCGGCCATAATCAAGCGCCGATCGGCCGATCTCGAGCGGGCCCGGGAAGAAAGCGAGCGCGGGGATTAGCGCCGCGGGGCCGAGATAGCATCGCGCGGCCGCAGGCTGGGGCCGCCGGGGAGGGCCGGCCGCGCCGCGGAGAAAGGCCGGCTTAGCCGCCGGGCGCCGGGGATTCTGAAGCCATTAGCGGGGATTAGCACCCGGGTTAATCTGCTTTGGCCGTTCAATTGTCAGCGGGCCGCTCGCGTGGTGGACCCTCGGTGGCGTGGCCGCGGGACCTCTGCGGTCCAGCACGGGTGCCGGTCTCGATTTCCCCAGCGGTCACCGGGCCAAGCCTGGCCCCGAGTCCCAGAGGGCGGGATGAACCCCTCGGTCCATCAGACCAACGGGCTCCGCGTGCACTTGGCCCAGAAGGTTGGAGTGGGGCCCGGCTCTTGGCTGCAGCCTGTGCTGGGGATCAGGGCGCACTGGCCCATGCCCATCCGCGAGGCCCCCGCCCTTCTGGCCAGCTCCTCCTCTGCACTCCCGGCTGGCCCTCAGGTGTGGTTCCACAGCAAGGCACACCCTCCCCACCCCGCAAGGCCAGGGGGCCGGTCCTGCAGACCAAAGGGAGGCTGCCCGAAGCCAACAAGGAGCCCCTGTCTGCAGACCCTCCATCCCTCCCGCGGTCCCACCCCAGGATATGGACCCCAGCCCCGGCGGACGTGATCTCACCGTCTGCCTTCCCAACCCCAATCTTCAGCTCCCTCACTGAGGGGGCCGGGGGTGAGGGCTGTGCAGACCTGGCTCTCATAGGTCCCAGGCAGGCTCTGTCTCTGCCTGGGTTTTCCCGTCTGAGGAAAGGGCCTGGCCGAAAGGAGGAGTGGTGCTGGCAGGAGGCCTACTGTGCGGTGTGCTACTGCTGTTTGCTGGAGGGGCGCGCCCCCGGCCCCACCGACGACGGGTTCCGGGGGTGGGGGACTCAGCGGGGTGCGCCTGAACCACGAGGCGGCCCCGGCCTCCTCCTCCATGGCGATGGGATGGGGCATGGTCCCCGCGCCCTACTCGAGCCCACGGGTGGGAGCAGGTGCCCGGACTGGAGCTGGCCAGCAGCGGGAGGCTGGCGACCCTCGCGGCCTCATCCCGTGACCCTGTCCCCCGTCCCGTGGCTGGCACTGGGGACTCGGGAGCCAAAGGTTGCAAGGGAGGGAGACACGGGCGCGAGCTCCGGGCCAGCGCATCAGGGGCGCCCGTGGCAGCGTCCAGCGTGAGCAGTGGGTCGTCGTGGGCGGGGGGCGGGGGGGAGCGATGGCGGTGGCGCCGGACAAGCCCGGAGTGTTGGCGGCGGCCCGACGAGGACCTTGCGAGCGGCCGTCCAGCGACCGGCCGAACGCATGCGCGGGCCTGCGCCGCCCTGGCGCGCCGTGACACCATCAGCGCGCGCCGTCCGATTTCCGGGCGCCGGCGGCCCCGCCCCTAGCAGCCTCGGCCCCGCCCTGAGGGAGCCAGCGGCCGGCGAGTCGCTCAAGCGTCGCCCGTGATTGGGCCCCGGGGTGGGGCTCCTCCTGCTCGAGCGAGCCTGGAAGGCTATTTTGGTGTCTCCGGGTCTCTGGGCCGAACTTTAGCCGACGGCCCGCGGGCGCAGCCCTTCCCCGGGTCACACAGTTGGGGGGCGGTGGGGGAGGGGAAGTCACCGGGCCGTCGGCTAAAGGTCGACCGACCGGAGGCGGGGCTCCTGGAAAGCGGCCGCGGGCCCCCCGGCGGCGGGTCCGAGAGCTTGAGCCCGAGGCCGGTTTTCAGCCGGGGGTTGGGCGGCGGCCGCCGCAGGCGTCTGAACAGAGGGACTGGGATGGCCCGTGCCTGTAGGTCACGTCGGGAGACAGCCACTCCTCTGGCCGAGTGGGGTCTCAGGTCCAGGCCCGGCCAGAGGGGAAATAAATGGGTGTGGCCGGCCCGGCCGAGGAAACAAAAACGACCACGGTTGTGGTGGGCGGGGTGGGATCAGGGCCTGGCCCAGTCTACGCAGCGGAGGTTGTTCTCGGGTAGTCTCAGGTGGGCGTGGAAGGAGGCGAACTACCAGGCCACGGCCCGCCGTTTTCTCCTTGGGACACCCGCTTGGTCGGCCTAGGCCACGTCTGTCCGCGGTCCTAGCTATTCCCTGTGATCCTCCCGCGGTCCTTTTCAGCCACTTCTCTGCTGTGGCCGCCTCTCTCTCTCCTTGGCCCTGTTCCCAGATCGTGAGGAGGCAGGTCCTCAGACCTCTGGATTCTGTGCAGGGAATCTGAGAACACGTAGGAAGTAGAATGTCAGTGAGGAAAGTAGTCTGGCATTCTCAGCTCTGATTGTTTGCTGTGAAGGCTGAGGACAACCTGCAACAGAATTCTCTTTGTTGGCTGAAAGGGGAGAAACTAATTTGTCAGGAGCGATTCTGTGTGTGTACTAAACTCTGATTGCCATTCATCTCCTACACAAGGACATGGAAAAACCTAGGGGATCCCTATAGGGTAGTGGGGGAGGGGAGGGTTCAAAGAAGTAGGGCAGGGGGCCCTGCCTAGAGTGGGCGTAGGACACCCCTCCTCAGCCACACAGTGATGAGATGGGGCTGGAGGTTGGCCAAGACCTGCCCCCGGAATGGCCACCATCTCACCCTTTGCTCCCTTGGCCTGTCTCTGAGGCCATTGGCCTGGGCACATTTCCTGAGGACCCCAGGCTCAAGACGATGCCAGGTGGTGAAGGTTGCTTAATGCTGAGTGGCTTCCAGCTGGGCTCAGACGTTTCTGGCTGTGGGCTGGATACCTTGACCCAGAGTCTGCACTCAGCTCACAACTCCTCTGATAATGCAGGCACAGCTGCACCCAGGGTTCTCCCCGGCCCTGGCCTGTGTGTCTAGGTTGGCCGGGGTGGGGTGGGGGAGAACCACACTGGAAGTGGAGTTTTTTGCCTCTCAACTGCTCAAAGTTCTGTCCACGTCATTCTGCCCCTTGGCCCCGTGCTGCAAGGGCAATGTCCCCTGCCATCGGCTTTCTAGATCTTGATTAAGTGCACGGGCTTTCTGCAGACACCTGCCTGCCCCTCTAGCCACTCCCCACTGGCTCACTTCCCTCGGCTTTGCTGACGTTGTCTCAGACAACGCCCCACCCCCACACCCCAGCCCTGCTTCCCTCAGGACTTAACTGCAGGAACTGAGGCTTCGATGGATCCCACCTTCTGTCAACAGGTGGAGTAGGTGGGGGGCAGGTGGCTTCTCCAGGCTCACAGCCCCAGGGGACTCGGGCTCAGCTCCATCACCTTTTCTGGCTGGGCTCCCTGCTGTGGCACAGGTCCCAACACTTTCCTTCCGGCTCAGTGCAGCCCGACTCCTTCCTCCTTATGAAAGGAGAAAGGGACAGGGCTGGGGGTGCTTGTAGGCAGTCAGTGAGCAGATGCCACTCCTAGAGGTATTTCATGGCAGAGTCCTGTCAGGGCCCAGCTCTGGGGCTCTGCCACATCTAGGAACTAGCTGGGCCCCCGAGCCCCTGCTAAATTTCCCTGAGGGCTCTCTCTGCAGAGCGTGTTCTAAGCACCGTACAGACACTACAGCACTCCTCATAGCCCACAGGGCTGGGTTCATTCTGCAGTTGGGAAATGGGAGTTTAGGTGGCTTGCCTCAGCCTGTGAGCAGTCAAGCTTTGTTGCCAGGCCCTTTCTCCTCCCTCTCCTAAGAGGGCACACTGTTGGTCCTTGCATCCCTCAAACCCACCCTTGATCCCCAGATCTACCCGACTCCAGGGATCCAGGTGCTGTGGGGGCTCTCCCCTGAAGGGAACAGCTCTAGGAGTGGGACTTGACTGCTAGTTGAGCCAAATCCACTGTGTGGCTTTTGCTGAGGAGTCACTTGGACCGGAAGGCCCCTCTGCCCCGCACCTCCTCCACTTGGCTCGCAGGTGGATTTCCAGCCAGATCTGGGCCAGGGGGACCCGCCGGTTCAAGGCTCTCTGGCCCCTGTGCTGGGCTGGGCTCCCAGCTGTGCCTGGGCCCCGGGGGAAGGTGGGCTTCAGCAAGGGGGACCCTTACTCAGGTTCAGTGCTGTGGGGTGAGGGCCCCAAGTACCCACTGCCTCCTAGCCTCGGTGAAGCATTAAGGGCCTCCTGCTCAGTCTTGGCACCAGAAAATGGTCACTCCAAAGCAGTTCCTCATGAGCAGATCACTGGGAAACCATGGAGTGAGGTGGGCCGGGCCCCCAGCTGCAGGGTGGACAAGAGCCCAAGAGCCCCTTCTCCAGGCCTGACCACCTGCTGCCTGCCAGGTGACCCCAAGGACATGCCCTCTGGCTCTCCTGCAGGATCTTGCCTCCTGGTCATAGGCAAAGTCTGGCACCAGGCATCCCCGGGGGTTGGCGCCAGGCCACAGCTTGCTTGCCCACCAGCCCGCCTGGCCCCCTGGCGGTGTCCTTGGTGGAGTGGGCCTGCTCTTGGCAGAGGTGTGGGCACCACTGCCCACCTACACGTGGGCTCACAACAGGGACAGGAGGCTGCAACAGGATCCGGTTTATTGCCTTGGAAGGGTGGTCCTGAGAGTGGCAGGTGCCACCCTGTCCCGGGCGGAGGGAGGGCCCGAGGGCCATTAAGGCCAGTGGCGGGAAAAGCGGGGGCCACGCAGCCCCTGGAATGCAGTGAGGCCAGGCTGAGGCCCGGAGGCAGCTGTGGTGGGCCGGGGCACTGCCCCTGCTGCCCAGGGTGGAAGGCACCGGGCTGGGACGTGACCCCGGCCACACGGGCACCCCGGGAAGTGGGGCACAGGGTCACAGCACACGAAACATGACACGGGCACACAAGCACGTGGACAAGTGGGCACAGATTCACAGGCCAGAGGAACACCCAGTCTCAGCTGGACACACAGACACTGTGGTGGCGGTGTACAGGCCACAGAGGACGTGTGGACCCGACAGCCACAGGGGACACCCAGGCCATGGAGTACGCGGGACAGGGAACAGGCCTTTTGGCACGACTGCACTGGAATTGTAAGAAGGGGGCGCCGGGGGCAGCCCGCACGCAGACCCCAGGGCTCAGTCCGTCTTCCACACTTTGTTGAGAAGCTTCACCACCTCGTCGTAGATGATGAACACGATGGCCACATCCAGGCAGACCCTGCCGAGGCGCGGGACAGTGCCCTTGTAGAACCTGGGGAGGGAGGCGGTGGAAGAGCAGGTGAAGGCACGGCTCTGGACAGGGCGGGGGTGGGGGGTGGAGGAGTCAGAGATTGAGGAAGCAAGAGCGGACCCTTTTGGGGATGCCCAGAGAGGGGGCACCGGGTGCTGGTGGCCCAGGCGGAATGTAGGGAGGGCCTGGGGTGCAGAAGGCAGCGCTGCCCCTTGCCCACTCACGCCTTGAGTCCCTCGTTCCTCAGGATCTGCAGGCCGCAGTCCCACGTGTTCCGGTACTTGTGTGCCTCCAGTCCCTGCAGGACATCAACAGCCAGGAGCCTCGGTAACCGGTGCTGCCCCAGGCCCTGCCCCACTCCTCCCCTCCCCGCCCCGCCCCCACCTGCATCCTGGTCTTGATCACATCCAGTGGAGTGTTTCCGAAGACACTGGCTGCACCCGCGATGGCTCCGAACACACCAGTGATCAGCGGGTTCATGGGCTTGTTGGGGTTGTCCCCTGGATGGGGGTGAGGGCTGGGGTCAGACGGGGACAGCGGGCGAGGGCAGGGCTCCAGGCCTGGAGCGGGGGGTGTCTTGGGGCGCAAACACACCTCGGTACCAGTTGCGCAGGGAGGTCATGACGAAGAAGCGGATGGCCTGGTTGGATCCCTGCTTCAGCACGGTGGCCGTGAGACCTTGGTACGTCCCCTTCAGCCCTGGGGCAAGCAGGCACGGCTGTCACACCGACAGCCTCCTGGACGGACGCAGGAGTGCCAAGGCAGGAAGCGCCGGTGGCGGCTCTGGGCAGCCTGGCCCAGGTCCCTGACCCCACCAGAGGGCAAGGCCGAGTGGCTCACCTTGTTCCCGCACGATCTCCCTGACCCCGTGGAAGAATCCTCGGTATTTGGGACTGGCAGAAGTCTGGTCATGGATGAATTTCACCTGAGGAAGAGGCGGCAAGGCGCTGGCTCTCAGGGCACGGGTGCCCCTGGCCGCCTTACGGAGAAGCCTCTGCTGTTATGTTTAGTAGTTTTTCAAACAACTTAGGCAGCAGACACGTGTTACCTTGTTTTGTGCTCCTAAGTTTTTTAAGGCAGTGTTATCTTACCACTGCCTCGAGGATACAGTCCAGCCCCCAGGAGGCTCTTCCGGTGGGCTTTCGGCGCAGGGCTCCCCAGGCAGACCCCTGCCCACCTCGACGGTCTCCGCGGGGCAAGACCCCTGCCCACCGCGACAGTCTCCGCGGGGCACAATGCCGCCACCCCGCCGCCCAGTGCTGTCTCACGCCTTGTCTCCTACGGGGATCTGCCCACCTTGATGGTCTCCATGGGGCACACGACCACTACGGCCTCGGCCACTCCGGCGCCCAGGCCGCACAGCAGCCCGCGCGTGCTGTCCAGTCGTCCCTGGGCGTCCCGCATGTGGTTGCTGAGAAACTCGAACGTCCCGAACCTGGAGCGGGAGGCTGAGGCGTGAGACGGGCCGCCGCGGGGCCAGGGCTCGCTCCCTCCCTCCCGCTGCCCGAGCCGCCTCACCTGACTGCCGCCTTGGGGATGGAGCCGTAGAGCAGGGAGCTGAGGCCGCGGTACAGGCCCAGGACGCCATGACTGCGGACTGTCTGCCGTACGCAGTCCCCTGGGGGAGGGGGCAGTCAGCGACCCCGCAGGCCCCTGCCGGCCGGCCCGCCCGCGCCGGCCGCCCCCACTCACCGATGCCCCGGTAGCGCGGCGGGTGCGAGCGCTCGTCCAGCTGCAGCTGCGTCTTCACGTACTCGGTGGGGAAGGTGATACAGATTTCGATGCCGCCCGCCAGGCCGCCTGCGGGTAATGACCGGGACCCGGACGGCGCTGAGACCCCTCCCCCGCCCGGATTATGCCCGCCGTCCGGGGACCGGGCCCGCGCCTCCCCCTCCCCCGCGGTCCCGGCGGGACGCCCGGGGGGCCGTGCAGCGGTGGCCGCGCCTGCCCGGAAGCGCGGCGGAGCCGGTACCCCGGGCCCGCTCGGAAGCGCAGCGGGGTTAGGGTCCGAGTGCGCGGTGCGCGCGCCCCACCTGCCAGGATCGCCTTCCCCGGGTGAGTGAGTGCGGCCTTCCCGGGCGCGGGCGCGGCGGCCGCCAGAGCGCGGGGTGCGGCCATGGCGGGCGGGCGGGCGGGGCGGGGGCCCGGCGGCGGCGGTGGCCTCGGGTCCGAGCTCTCGCGCTCAGTCGCGGCGGCGGCGGCGGCACCGGTTTATGGGCCCGGGCGGAGCCGCCGCTTCGGCCCAAGGCTCCGCCCCGCGTGGTCCGAGCCCGGCCCCGCCCCGCCGACCCGCCCCGAGCTCGCGGGAACTTGAGGCCGGGGGCCCCTGCGGTCCAGCCAATGGCCGCGCGGGCCTTCCCGGCCCCGCCCCGAAGATCCGCCTCCGGCCGGACGGCCCCTCGGCCCAGCCAATGGCCGCGCGGTCCCGCCCCGAGGACTCGCCCCCTCGTCAGGAGGGCGGGACCTCCCCTCACCCCATGCGCCGCGCGATCCCCGCGCCCCCTAGTGCTCGGGGATCCGGGCGGCGCGCACGGGGAGTGCGGGGTCCCGCCCTCTCGCGCCAGCCGCGACGGGAAGCTGGGACACGCCGACTTTCATTTAACGTGCGGGGCTCACACACTGCCTAGTGGGTCCCAGAGGGGCAGATCCCCCAGCGCGGAGTGGGCAGGGCGCCCTGCCCCTGCGCCCGGGAGTCCTCGTGTTCTACTCCCCAGGAGGGAGGACTCCGGCCAGAAGCCTCGGGGGTCGGAGTTCACCTCCCGCGAACAGTCCGTGGCCACCCCGGGCTTCGGCGGGGCCACCACTCACTGGGCCCCAGCAAAATGAATTATGTCCGGGCGGCCCCCACCCCCGGGTTCTCTGTGCTTCCTGGTAACGCGCTCCTTGGGGAGGTTAGGGACCCGCAGAGGGCGAAGCTGAGCCCGGGAGCCAGCGGGGGAGCCGGCAGGCAGGGCCCGCAGCGGGCCTGCGGTCAGCGGAGGCGAGAGAGAGGCCGGGTGGTGAGCAGACCTCCTGCTGCCCCCGAGCGGCCAGGGGCCCAAGGAGCAGGGTGTCAGGCCAGTCCTGAGCACACAGAAGCCGCAGGGACAGGGGCCTTGTTGTGGAGCGCCCCCGCCCCCCAGGCACAGACTGAGCTGAGCCCGCTGGGTCCAGGCGTGTCCATCAAAATAGTACAAAACAGGTTGACCTTCGTGCCGTGCAGGGAGGACACGCAGGGGGAGGCCTGAGGCTCGCAGGCTGCCTGCCCACACTGCTGGCCAGGGTCCCTCCTGCAGCCTCTGTGCAGGGGACACAACCACCCTCTCTGCTTGAGGGCACGTCATCCAGGCAGCTGTCCAGAGCAAGGCCAGCGAAGCCTTGCTGCACGAGGGGCTGGAACATGCACACTTGCAGCTGGGCAGCTGCTGGGCACAAGGGTCAGCGACAGCGAAGGTGGTGCCGGCCCAGCAAACCTGGAGCATTGACCCTTCCACAGCGGGAGGCCTGACCCACCTGGAGCCCAGCTAGGGGAGTGCAGAGCCAACAGCTTCCCCACTCTCCTCCCAGTCCCACCCCAACCCCCCGGACAGGGGGCTAGGGGCTACCAGTTGCCACCTACCATGCAGAAGTGGGGTGGGGCCTCAGGCTCTCTGGGGCGCCCAGTCTGTCCATCTGCGAAGAGGGGGGAATGCTGAGTGCCTGTATGACAGGCTGTGTGCATGCCAGGGGCACGCAGGAGCCTGCGGCTCACGCGAGAGGGAGAGCGGAGGACGGGCGCCCAGGGTACCCACCATGACGTCCGTAACCAGGCAGAGATGGGGTGGCGGCCTGATGAACCCCAGCCTCCACTGCGGTCTTGGGCCTTCAAGCGGACACTAGGCCACCAGGGCACCGGAGCAGTGGCCTTTGACCAGGGGCCACAAGTGCAGCACTGCCCGCCTTCAGCCAGCCCAGGCCACCCACCCCTCCTGACACTAGTCATCTGGGGTGGGGTGGAGCGGGGTGAGGTGTGGCTGAATGGACACACAACATGTTCTCGGGACAACAGCAACTATGTGTCTGGGATCCCACACATGCACAGGGTGAGAAGACTCACCTGACCGGCGTGTGCCCAGGTCTCGGAGGAGCTGGCCAGCCAGAGCAGAGCCAGCCCTGCCCTTCCTCCACAGGAGCTGCACCCACAGCCACCCCCCCCCCGACCCGGTGAGCTGGCTTGGGGGGGGGGTTGTTCCCAGGGGGTGTAGCTTCACCAGGCGGGAGGCCCGGGGCCTGGGTCGCCACTGGCAAGGGGGGGCCTGGCCTTCTTGTTGGGGCCCCTAAGCTCGTCCCAGACCAGCTCCTGTCCTGCTTTCCAGCCAGTTCCCCTTTAGTCTCCGCAATCACTGGTGATAACCCTGTTCCTGACGTTCAAGCCCCAGAACAAACAGTCCACCTGGGCTCCCGTCACCCCATTGCCCATCCACGTGCACACGGGGCTGGCCCCCCACCTCCCGCCATGATCAGCACCAGGCCCTCACCTCCGGCCCTGCACGAGCAGCGTCCTGCTGCAGTGACCCCTCTTGGGACACTGGGCAAGTCCCTCCCTCGCACGTCCCCCAGTCCTGGCCCCTGGATTTCTCCAGGAGTTACCTTGACAGTCCCGCTCTACGAAGCACTCTGGCTCCTACCCTGCACACGTCACCCCTCCAAACACTGCCCCCTGTCTGCCAACATCGCCGAATGCGGATTTGACCCAAGAGGCTTTTCTGTTTTACCCAGTGATAACCACTGTCTGGAATAATGCCCGCCACACAGTAGGGGCTGGAACATTTGCTGAAAGGCAAGTGTTTCACATACCAGCCTCAGGGTGGCTTAAACACCCTCCCTGGTTGCTTTACAATTTTTTAGGACTTCTGCATGGCAGGAAAGCGCCTCTCACCAGATCTCGGTGGTATCCACCTGCACAGGCCCCAAGCCCTGCGACTCTTTAAGGCCCCTCCAGACTTGTGCCCCTGTTGCTGGGGGGAGGCTGGGGCTCGGGGTCCATGGGGAACACTGCCCAACAGCCCCCTCCCCAGGCTGCCTGGACCAGGCTGCCCCCGTGACCACAGCCTCGTGCAGGCCCATCATGCCAGGCATGCACACTGCGGCGTCTCCCGGCCAACTGTCCAACGCTGAGTCCGAACGCAGCACCCGTGGGAAGGCCCCACCCTCCCCAAGCTCTTGGGTCCCCCTCCTGGACTTGGGCGCAGCCCCCGTCCCCAGGGCCCCGCGGAGGTGGCTGTGGTTGTCATCACCAACCCAGTGGTCTCAGCACGTCGCCCAAAGGTGGTCCCCAGGGTGGCCCCCTGGGCACCGACTGGGCTCCTGAAGGTCCAAGGAGCCGAGAGAAGGGAGGGCACCTCAAAAGCCCAGGCCTGGCCGGCGACGGGGCGCAGGCTGGCTCTGCTACCTGTCCGCCACACGACCCCCATGCCTGCAGCGCTGAGGTGCTGGCTCCACACCCAGCAATATGGGCTCTGGCCAGAGGGGGACTGGACGCCTACGTGGAGACCCCCAGGGCAGAGCACCGCCGGAGGCGGAGGGCCGGCCCTCGGAGCATCCCAGCCAGCCGGGCCCCACCGGCTCCGGGCTGGGTCCCTGCACAGGGACCACCAGCTCCGGCACTGTCCCACGCGGCTCCTGAAGGAGTGGATGCTGGGGCCGCACGAGGCTGGGGGTTGGAGCCCCACACTGACCCGCAGGTCCGGTTGGTGGGCGGAGCCGGGCGCAGGGTCTGCGCTGATGATGATCTGAAGGTGCTTGTGCCCCGGCCCGGCCACCCACAGACGCGCCGGCAGGAAGCCAAGAAAGAGCCCCTTGTCCTCTCTCTCTTTTTTTAGAGCTATGTTTTATTCTGCGGAAATGTTTAGGATTTCAAGTCTGGAGACGGCATCCCAAGAAACCCTGAGAGAGCTGCTGCGAGCAGGTGAGGACAGGGAGCCAGGTTAGAGTCTGTAATGAAGGGCAGGGAGGCTGAATGTCTAAAGATCATTGTGAATGAAAGAAAACCAGATAACCAAGTTAGGGAATTTGGCTAGCACTTTTCCACACGTGGGAAGATGCAAGAGCCTGGAGCCCCTTGTCCCTGGGCAGGAGGAGGCTTCTGCTCCAAAGGCCCCCGTGGGGCCACTGGGGTGCCCATCTTGGGGTGACCCGGAGAGCCCCCCACCAGCACAGCCTCCCCACTCCCTGCCCGAGAGGCAGGAAACACACGGAAAAGGCATGGTCTCTGCTCGTGTTTTCTGCATGAGGTGTCACCAGCACCCTGGGGACCCTTGTGGGCATGCACGTGTACACACACAGGGCACACACTCTCACACACACACACACACAGATAGGGCCACGCTGTCACCCTCCCTCTGTTCACTCTGGACAGCAGAGCAGGCGGACTCCGGACACCTACACTGTGTTAACCAAAGTCTTGCTACTGACCGATGCTTGGTCTTCACATTCTAGTACCCAAGGCTTCAGACGTTCACTGATGAGAAGTGGCTGCACGTCTTCACAAGCGTTTCCGACACGCAGGATCCTGGGCAGAGGGCTCCACGACCTGCCTGCGTGCTCAGCACAGAAGCTAGTGAGGTGACACCACCTCAGACACGGCTTCACGCGTGGGCGTCACATGTACACTGATGCACACGTGTTCCGTCCTGACTGTGTGACCCCGTGGACTGCAGCCCACCAGGCTCCTCTGTCCATGGGATTCTCCAGGCAGGAGTCCTGGAGTGGGTGCCATGCCCTCCTCCAGGGGAGCTCCCCAACCCAGAGATCAAACACTTCTCTCCGGCATCGGCGGGCAGATTCTTCACCACTGAGCCACCCGGGAAGCCTCTGCCTGCTGATAAGTTCCCTGCTATGAAGACAATGCCTGGAGCCGCTTAACCGATAGGAGTGCCCCGGCCAGCAGCCGTATCTGGTCTCATCACATCTACTCCTCAGTCTGCAACCACCCGGCTGAGGACCCGGCCTCCTGCCTCCTGAGGAACCGGCCGCAGTCCTGGCGGCCACATCTGGCGGGGGCCCAGAGGTCAAGTCTGAAAGTCCAAGCTCTCAGTGAACAGCCTTTATACAAACATAAAGTATCTTGAGTGCTTTATCAAGAACTCCGCCCTTTTAAAAGCTGGGGTGGCCCTCTCTGTGACTCTCTGCCCTGTGCCCTCTGACCCATCCCGAGGTCTGCCAGGGCACGTCTGGCTCTTACAAACGGGGATCTCGCTTCCTTACACGTTCTGTCATGTTTTCATGACGAGCTCATCACTTGCTGCAACGTTTTCCGTCAAATTCCCTCGAAGCCTTGCTACATAGGTTCTCCCGAAGAGGATGTGTGTTCACCTCTCGCAGAATCAGAGGGGAGAGGGCACTGCCTGTCAGCAACCGTTTTAAATGGAAGTCCTCGGACGTCCCTGGGGGTCCAGTGGTTGAGGAGCCACCGTACAATGCCGGGGACGCCGACCTGATCCCTGGTGCCACGGGGGAGCTCAGCCCATACGCTCCAACTACTGAGCCCAAGTGTAGAGCCGGGGCCGTGAAGAGAAGCATCGCAATGAGAAGGCCACGGGCCGCGACCGGAGAGGAGCCTCCGATCACCACGACTAGAGAGTTGTCTGCACTCACAACTAGAAAGGGC